TGGGCAGGTAACCGTTCCTGACGATCAGATCGGTCTCCTGTAGTGTTTCGATCATCTTTAAAGTGAAGCAGTCAAATATATGGAGCCAGTTACAGAACAAAAGTGTTATCAATGCCCAGGTAAGTTGAATCCTTCTCATTACAAAATCACTCCTGCTCAAGCTACTGACTTTGACTTTCTTGGTTTGGAATTTCCTTGTCATTGTCCAACACCTCTACAGACGGTCAAACCTGTTAAAGAAAAACAAACTGCACACAACACCAAGACAAAAGACATAACAGGTTTTCAATTTTACAAAGAGTTAACCAGAGGTTGTTTTACTATTTCTCCAAGTATTAAAGGGCTTGAATTTGTCTTCTAGAAAATGTTCAGTTTAACTGAAAGATAATCAGTTAAACTGAAGCAGTTCCTTATATTTGTTAGTGTTTCCATGATCATTTATGCTTAACGATAAACAAGTTAGTCATTTCCTCTCCAATTGGCACCGTGGCTTCATCTCTTTTGGATGGTGCACTAAGCCACAACTTATCCATGATAAGCTACAATATCTCTAGATCCTCTCACTCAATCTGTATTATAATGAAGGACCTCCGGATTCGGAACTGTGTAGAGGAGGTAAATATCTTTGTCCCCTCTCTCTCCAAGGTACAGACTATAAATCTAAGAATAAACATGAAATTCCTTCAATTTAAGTAGTTTGCTATTATCTTTGTACCACAAAAATACTGCAGACCGTCAACAGATCAAATAACTTGCCAGTTGTCAGAGACTCGGTGGAGTCATCTGACGAGACAGCTGTGAAAAGTGAGAGATTTGGAAAACATGATTCCATACTTAAGCGCTAAATAGAGCACCAAACTAAGCTAGAATAGCTAGCCATGGTTTCTGTCATTCACTGAGAGACTGAGAAGTTATTCTCCACCTCATAAAGCTGGAGAAGAGAACTGCAAGTTAATAAAAATCCAAATATACAGTGATGCATTTCCTTTGAAAAGTTGGGGTTTCTAAAATTGGATTATTACTCCTCTACTATGTTGACTAACAAAAGAATCAAGTTACACTTGTGTCCTATGAAGAAAAGCTACAGATGGTTTTCTGATGCAGTTCTTTCTAATGTAGGATTAAAGCAGTTTGCTTGCAGAGCTTCTCCCTAACCATCCGGGCATACTTCGCTTACCTACAGGCAAACACTGGCAGCATTTCTAAAACTCTTCACCTTTAATTGTGTATGGTTTTCAACTAGTATACCAAAAGGTACTGTTCAAAAGACTCCATTGTCTAATTCTACAGAGTCACAATTTCCTCGACATCTCAAATTCTTTTAAGACGGCCACACCTGTTAAAGAAGAAATGTACACAACAAAAACACAACATTATAAATGAACACTCCATGACTTCTCATTGAACCAATACATACTTTACTTTATAACCACTGAAAGGTTGATTTGGAGTTAGGGGGTTTCTTTACCTCACAAAACTTATTATATTATCTTAAGTATAAGATGCTGAAATTGTCTCACACTCTTATCTTTCTTCATGCCAGTCTCAGCTTTAACAGATGAAGAGAAGATCTACAAAGGGGTGAATTTATAAGTCTGATATCAAGTGTGTTTTCTGACTACAAAAATCACACTACAATGGAGACTGAAAAGGTTCAGCACAGAGCATACACTGGCTTTAACAATGCAAGTTTTCTGCTCAAGTTGAGATGCATTAGTAGACACACTGTTGTAAGGATACTTACGTCATCTACACACACACGCACACACACTCACAAGTTAATACATCGTCATGGTGATTAGAGATCGCCAAGCTTGTGCCGGGACAGATCTAATGAGTGCTCTGCTTCACTCAGTAGTAACTCTAGTAAATACAATTATTAAACTGATAAAGTCTTATTTCATAAGAATTGTGCTAAATTTAAAAATATGTTAGCGATTCAAGAATACTTACACTCACCCTTACCACCCTTCTCCTCTTACCACACAATGCACAGAATCATTGTCCATTTGGTGAAGTCGGAGGACCTCAGAGCAGGTACTGAGATAAATCAAGGCTAATAGTGATAGAAGCAGCTTTTACTTATTCTGAATGATATGGAATGCAGGCTTGATATTGATGTGGCATTTCTGTATGTTAAAATCTGAGATTTGAAAATAGACCCTCAGGGTCAAACAATAGAATAAGCCATTATCCTACTATCATCGACTGTAAATTGACTGTGATCTCTATTATCTGGCTTGGATGTTGTAATACAGCCACTGACGACTCTTGGAGTCTTCTGAATTAAGAAATGCTGCTTCAAAGTTTTATTTAAGGCGGTTTGTTGTTTTTGTTGTGGTTGTTGGCCGTCACCAATAACAAACAAGCCATGATGTGTTCCTGCATCTCTGCCAACAATGCTACTGCACAACATGCTGAGAGAAGTTCAAGCAGTCAGCCAGTGCCACATAGTAATGATGATCATACCAAACAGACATGAACTGTAGATTGAGTATGTTATATATTTGTCACAGTAAAGACATGTATCATATCGTAGTAATAGACAATTCCATGCTTTGAGATGAGATTCAACAGAATATAGGATGTGAATTACCAGCAACAAGAGAAGAGGTTTTAGCAGAAACAGGTTCCACTGCAGTCCAAGCCTAAAACCAGTGCAGTTAATCTTCCTCATACTGCTGCGAGCCAGGGTACAGGGCACAGAATCAGAACATCCTCTTTTCAGTGCAGCACAACCGTGGTGTGAGAGAAAACATTAACCCGTATAAAAAGGTCAATGATTTTGGAGTGTCCATTTTCCAGCTGAGGTTATACCATCATTCAGTCCCTCTGAAAACAGACCCAAAGGACTTCAAACTGGACTCAGAATCAAGTCTCCTGGAAATTTAGTGACTTCGTTCTTGCTCGTGTTTTGGTTATACAAGATTCATCAATTCATCCATAGACATTTATGATTTCCTAAAATATAAAATTTGACAAAAGGTGCAACTGAGGCCCTTTCAGGCATGTATGACTCCTTCATCCCAGACTTAGAGGCGTGTTGTCCGGTCCTTTTACATCACACAGACTCTCTGGCCTCTTAGGTAATTATGTGTTTCTGATTGGACAGGGTTTCCCTGCAAGTTCAGCCAGGGTTGTGTATCTCTGTCCAACATGACTGGATCAAGCTACTTCGTAGCCCATAAACATTGCTCAATATGCTACATATTGGACAAACAGTTTAAGTATCCAGTAATAAAAAGGAGTTACTGCTGATGGGGCAACTAAAGATACTCAGAGGCTGACTTTTCCTAAATTTTTTTTTTTCAATTTGAACAAGTTGTAGGACAATGAGGTTGTAATAGATCTCGAAACAAAGAGGACTAAGGTTAAAAACTGTATTCAGTTATTTGTTCATGAGGAAGGACATGAACCTCTGTTGTAAATGAGGTTTGCACTATCGTTTATCTGGCTATTTGTGGTCCAGTAACATCGTCTTCTTTGTTCACTTACACAGACAACGTGAAATCACCAAGCGGTTCTTGGACCAAATGAACTGAACCTTTTCAAGATCCATTCTCTAAAATTCAAAGATCAGCAACTCAAATTGGCTGAGGGGATACCCTACATTACCCCAAATACCTTAAATAACTGACCTCTTCAAACTAGTTTCTGGAGGCCTTTTCAGAACAGACGAGAAGTGAAATATTGATGAAATGGACCCAATTACAAACTTTTCCTTTGAGAAGTTATCAGTTACTGCTTATTGACCAGTTACTCACCAATGACATGGCTGACATGGATGTCTTGGGAATAGCAATAATGTAATACAGACAACATCTGATGCTGCCATCAATGTCAACGTCTATGACCCATCAAAATTTTCTGACAGAGCTGTAATGTTAAAGGTTTAAGTTGTCACAGCATGTGCATAAAAACTGCATCATGTTTATTTACATCATCCTGTACCAAATACATACTTGAGCTTTTATCTACCATTAATATGGTGCAGTCCTATAAATAACCCCACTCTCTTCAACATCCACACGGGACACATACTCCGAGAACTCTGAGTCACTGACAGGAGTAGTGTGTCTTTAAGACTTTCACTTCCATTCACACGCACAATACACTTATGAACACAAGCGTTCTTAAAGGCTCTATGTGTCCGATTTCTGCTTTCCTGTTCAAAAGAAAAAGTTCCTGAATTAAAGCCACTAAAAAGATGCCGGAACGTGAGTTAAAAAAAACATTTCACATATCCACCGACACAGTGTTCGTCAACTCAAACTGTAAAGACACAAGTCTGGTCAACTGTGTGATTGAATAGAAACTGCACTTCACTGAACGGCTGTTAATGTACTTAAAGAATTATTTAAATGGGGTTCATGTCCCATTGATAAATTTTTAAAGAATCTTGGAGTCCAATACCGCCCTTCATTTTGAATATGACGGACATGGAATTAAATACAAGTCAACAAGTTGAGTCCATGTTTGGATTGAATTTGACTGAGACAGAAATAACACATAGACCCTTTAAGAGCTAATGTGGCAGGTTAATCCAGAATTACTGAACTATACAAACAACTTTAAGTTGGGATTTGGTTGTTTTCTGTTTTACATGTAGTTTGTTAAAAGTTAAAGGAATAAATTATAAAAAGGTTTTTCCTGATGGAACCAATGTCTCTTTATTGTAATACATGCTTTAACTCCAAAGGTATGGCACAAAACACAGCCATAGAGTAGAGAAAAGTTGTACAATTATCACTTCACGGAGACTCACAGAGAATACAACTAGTAAAGAAAATTTAACATGGTTCAGAAAGAACTACGAGATCACATCAGGGTGACCCATCTTCCAGAACTGCTACTGACAATACAAAATAAAAATGAAATATATCTGATTGAAAAAAAGCAGGCTAAAATTCAACAATTAAACTTAAATACAAGAAAAGCGTTTGTTCTGGAGAACCTGTACAAATTCTGCTGCTGCTGCAAGGTGCTTCAAAGAGCAGCATTTAAAAACGGGCCTTTTTAGCAGGACCATCAAACTCCTCACGGACTCTGCCGTACCCGGCATTACCAGGACCCATTCCCCTAGGACCCCCCTGGGCAAAGCGCTCGTTGCGCTGTAGGGGAGAATATTGCAAAGGAGGCAGATAGGGCGTCGGAGAATAAGGTATGGGTTGCATATTCAGTGCGTGAGCACACAGTTCATGTCCATATTGAAATGGTGGTAATAGAGAGGATTTGATTTATATTGTGAGCAGATTTACAACACAACCAGCAGGAGACACATCCGAAGAAACGGTTCGTTCCAATATGAAGGTCCACAGGTGCCACAGGTTACATACGGAAAAGGAAGAGAGGGTAATGCTTTTGTTAGTCAGTGCCTACCTAGTATGGTCTCTCCTGAACATGCCAACACTAACACTTGGACTTTTCTGGTCATTTACTCAAGTATTTGAAAAGTGCGCACTGTGTTTGTCGCCTCATGATAAGGGCTGTACCCCAGTAGAAATTTAGTCCATCATTAAGTCGAGCCATTTAACATGATAAATAAAAAACAATCAGTTCTATATATTTAAGCTCTATGTACAAAAACTGATGGTTTGAATCGTGCATTTACTTGTTTCAGTGAAAAATGGAGCTTTGCTCACCTAAAGCATCCAGCTGACAAAGATATTTTCTAAATTCCTCTTAGCTAAACTACAAAGAGGCTAAAAAGCCTGCTATTGTTCCTGAGTAAAGGACAATGCTGCAGATTTGTCATCTGTACAGATTAAAACAGCGACAAACAGCCAGACACATTAAAACAAACACTATGCCTGTGAGCTGACAGCCTCTCCTCATGATCTTGTTTCCTTTAAAGTGCAATAAACCAACACTGATCATCAAACATTGTCATTTTCACCTGTGCTACTCAGCAGGTAGATCAGTTTCAAAGCTAAGGTAACCCTCCCAGGGTGCTTTAATCAGGGGGCAGCCCTATTCATGGCCAGATTACACATTTTCAGCTCTGGGGGTGTTTAGGAAAATATATCCTGAAAGTTGGTACGTTTACTAATTTCAGAAGGACCCTTAGTTTCAGCTACTGTAACTCTTTGTAATTCAAGTTCAATGAAAACTTCAATTTGAATATCGAAACCTGGAAAATTAAAGTCACTTTCCACTGGAACAAATTCTGATGGATTCAGGTTTTTTTTAAGGACTTTGAAATTCTTTAAGATGAGAGTTTCTGTGTCTGCTGTCGAGGTACCACAGCGGCTTTTAGGCCAGAAACTTGAGAGGAATAGAGGTATTAAGAGGAGGGTCCTTCATGTGTACAGAAACTGAATGGCAGGAAGTGCTCTGTGTATTCAATTTGAGCTCAGTTTACTTAAATCATACATGACATGTAACACAACCAGTTCTCAAACAAGAAAGCAGTTTCAATTATCCATATTTAACCAACAGACCATTTCTGAAGAGTTTCATGAATCTGATTAACCGATTATCTGCCAAATTGGCAACCAAAATGCATCAGTGCAGTGAGCACAGGAACTCAGACTGTAGGAAATCAGGTAGATGTACTGAGCTGGATCTATGCTCTGCTGATGATTACCACAGTCCTTACTGAGCCTCCATGCTGTTGAACATCCACACGTCACTAATGACTGAGTGTTTACAGGAGCGCTCCACGTTCTGCTTTGTAATGTGCTTCAGACAAGTTGAGATATATCAATCTCTTGGTTTCTGAAAAGGTGCAAACGTTGAGTGTACCACTTTCTGCATGCATCTATACTGGAGCAAAATCGAACACATTTGCAGATATGCATGTCATTTGAGACCTTGTTCAGCTTCTAGAAGTATAATCCTGAAGTAAACACTGGAACTACAGTTCTGGTTAAAGCAAAGCTTTGGGTCCAGAATTCACCATCACCTAAACAAAACAGTCCATGGCTTTGCCTGCACCCACCAATTACACTCGCTGTCACTTTTTTTTAATCCCTTATCAATATTTTCACCACTTTGACCATCCGCCTGCACTAAAGACCTTGTGACTGCGTTATTACTTAAAAGATGCTGATGAGAAGGTTAAAGACATTGGAACAGAAGAAGATACACCCCTACTTACAGTTTTTGAGGGCCTGTGATACAAAAGGAGCTTTGAACAAATCATCGCATCGCCACCCCAAAAATGCACCATTTTATGTACCACCTAGTTTCTACCTACGAAGTGTAACTGCTTGTTAAGTAAAAAAAAGTGAAGCAAAATTCAATAAGCACATTGTCAACAGTTCAGGGGAAAACAAAAATTGTAGTTGAGTTCTTCCTCAGGTCAAGGAAAAGTGCCTGTCCATTTCACATGAGGCAGGTCTTGCAATAGCAGCCAACTACACAAAGAAGTGAGAGGAGCGTGCAGAGCCACTTCTGACTGGCTACAGCGGAGAGAGCACAAAATGAAGAGCAATAATTCATGTCTTAGTGCAGGTTGACGGTTTCGTGGTTTAAAAGTTGAAAAACTCAGCTCAAGTAACTGGCGGGGTTCGGCTTGCCATTGAAAGAAACTCTCGCAAAAAAAGGCAGCAAATCGGTCACTTCCAACAAGCAGCGATCGAACCGAAACAGCAGGGAATGCAGAGCATTTGCATATTCCCATCCTGCTTAGCCAGCCTTTGTGTTTAAAACAGCTGGCAGTCTTTCCAACAGAGAATTAAGCCAGACAGAACTACTTTAGCTACTACTTAAAAGAGGGATACATTACCATGTCGTTGCCCATCAGGCCTCCTGCAGCTGCCCCCATTCCCTGCTGTCCCTCAAAGCCCATGAACTTCTGGTTGGCTGCACCAAAGGACATATCTGTTAGGAACAACATGCCAATACTATAAATACTAAAAGAGGAATAACCACCAACTGGTAGTATTTTAAATTAACTCTATTACAGCTGTTTTTACATTTAGCTCGCTTAACAGTTTGATCATACTGGAGGGTTTTAAGAAAAGACAGAAAACTTACCACCGATGCCTGAGTTCATTCTCATATCCCTGTTTCTCTGTAAAGAGAAAGACAAAGACATCATTAACTTTGGGGAACTTCTGATCAGATGAACCACTTTCTACTTTGAATGTCTTTTTTTCTTTTGTTAAATTTAACTTACATCCATGAAGTTGCCCATCCTGTAGTTCTCCTCACGCTGACGACGCAGCTGTTCCTCCATCTCCCTCTTGCGGATCATCTCCTCCTCCTGTCGGCGTCGCTCTTCTTCTTGTCTAATACCCAGCAGGAAAACATTAATCTGATGTGGTCCAACTTAAGCCTTACTGTTCATTAACTGAGTCTAATTACAACCCAGGCATCTACAGACTATAGTACACAGCTTAAAGCTGTAATGCACCACATAAAGAGAGAAAACTATTCCTTTTTGCAGTCAAACAAAACATACAAAATAGGAATCAAATCAAGATCAATACCTGAGCTGCATCTCCTTCCTCTTCTGCATCTCCTGGCTGTGCATCTCCTCCATGCGCCTCAGTTCCTCCTGACGCCTCAGCAGATCTGAAATGAAGAACAATACCATTACATTTCATCAGGGAATAGCCCAATGCTTCCATAACATCAATGTAGGCAAAAACGGCATTAATTGTAATTAAGCAAATAGGTTATTCGAACATCACAGGAAACATTAACTTGCCTTGGCGAAGCAGGTTGGCCTGGTGCTCGTGGTAAGCATCCTCCATCTCACTCTCCAGCTTTTCACGGGCCTCACGCATGTTCTTCTCCACCTGCTGCCTCTGCTGCTTCTCCATTTCATCCAAAGACTTCCAGCGCTTGGCATACTCAAATTCAAAAGTGCCGGGACGAGCAAAGCGGGGAGGTTCCTCACGCTCTCTGTAGAAACACATCGTTAGTTTAACTTGAGATTACTTAACACACCATATTTTAAATCTGCCTCAGCTACTATCAAGTAGTAATAGACTGATAATCTCTTGAATGATAAGACTTGTGGAAGTGACTCCTTTCTCCTTATTCACAGAGTCAAACAGGTTAACATCTGCTCCTCCACAAAGAGGATTGATTCTTAACAGCTGCAATCCCTGAACCAACCCCCACACACATCTACATCTCACCATCTGCCGATAATAAACAATGACCTGAGGCATTAATTCAGGGACTGTCACCCTCAATCACCTCCAACACAGTTTTTATTTTTGCATCTAGTATGAAACTGTGCTCACGCTTGATATCTTGGGTTCTTCTGAGCCAGTTTCTCGGGGAGTCCATCTTCATCATCAAACTGCTCCAGGGGCTCAACAACAACTGGTCTGGGTGATCTAGGTATAGCAAACAAAGTGAGATAAGAGCACTGAACTCAAAGGAAAAATTACAGGCTTAGATTGGAGTACTGTAAATGGACTCACGTGGTGAGCAGAAAAACACCCTCGTTGCAACGATCCAGGACCTTTCTGGCTGCAGGTTTGGAGGCAAACTCTACAATGCCCTTTCCTGTGGAGCGGCCACGGTCGTCTACAATGACAACGGCCCTCTCAACCATTCCAAACTGTGAGAAGGCTTCTTCTAAAAGCTCGTTGGACACAAATGGTGAGAGATTTTTTATAGACAGGGCTGCTGAGTGTGTTGCAAAACGTACACGAAGGGGTCTACCCTTCATGGGTGTGTCATCCAACTCGGCCTTTGCTATCTCTGCGAGTGCACGGGATTCCTGCAAAGACATCCGTACAGTATAAGAGTTAGTGAAAGATAATGCTTTACCATATGTCTTTAACAATCATGACAACAACAAATGAAGACTTTCACTCGTGAAGTCAGATACTCAAACAAGTACATAAGTAAATTGAAAAACCCAAAAGGCATTACTCTCAAAAGTGAGTTTTAAAACGACTACATCATGATAATTTAGGGGATAAACTCTTACCAGACGAATGAAACCAAAGCCCTTGCTCTTGTTGATGAACACTTCGCTCGGTTCTCCATATTTTTCAAACAGCTTCTTGAAATTGTCTTCTGTGATGTCGTTAGGAAGGTTACCGACGAACAGGCGGCAGCGCTGGGTGTAAGTCTTCTCTCCGGGTTTCAGCAGCATAGACAGGGATGCCTTAAACTCCTGTACATATTAATGAGACAAGTTATTTGTCGTTGTTATGGATAAAATCTCAAAATACATGGATTTCCTTGTATTTAAGGAAGTGACAGCAATATTCAAAAACGATATGTCCAGACCAAAGATCCAGGCCAGTTTCTATTGGGAATGCCACCTACAAATAGAGGTATGGATGTGAGAAGATCAAAATCACTTAATAAACTCTTATTTTTGGCCAGAAAATGTATACCATTTACTTGTTGCTAGTCCTAGAGGCCTAAGAGGGGAGACAGTGGGTTAGGGGGTCCCAGACTGAGCTAACAATAAACATATAATTTTTTTTTTAAATACAAGGACACATATTTCTTTTAACTGATGACACACTGTTGTGTTGTTGTTGCTGGGGTCTCTCTGTTTACCCCTTTTTGGTTTTGTTTTGTTTCCCTTTTCCCCCTCACATTTTATCCTTTTCTAGTCATTTTCCACCTTATTTGAATTAAAATGATGTATGCTTCAATGTAAATTATGAAAATAAAATAAAATCTGACTACCTGAAAAAAGAAATACAAATAATTTCCACTAAACGGATTGTTTCGGTCTCACGTCTTTGTTAACGTACGTATTAACCGCCCATCCCCCATACATGAGCTTCATCGTACTCTTGACCCACATCTTTGAAATACAATTAAAAGCAAATTCAGACTGCCGAAAAAACACACACCGACACAAGAATACAGAAAAATCATGATTTGAACGTTTATCTCGTCTAAGTAGCTCTAAAAACCGACTAAAATGCGACTTTTCCGCCGCTAAATAAGATGGCGGATTATAAAGGCGACTAGCAAGGGTGCGTTTGATTCGATGCCTTGACCGGAGTGGTTGTTACCCGCAGCGGACGACTGAAGCCATCGTAAGTTGAATACAAGAAAACACCGCCCACCCGGGCTGCGTTGTGCATCAAACCTGGAGTTACAGTAGCTAGAACTAGCACACTGTATAACTGGTATTAAAAAAGTGTATTAAACTCACGCTGGACGGCCTTCCTTCTGCCTCTGCTCCTTCGCTTTTGATGACCATTTTCTCCGACTCTTCTTTGTCCTGCTGTCTGGCCTTCATCTGCGACGGCCCTGCCCTCTGGCCTTGTTGAGGGCCCATTCTCTGGCCTTGGTGTGGTCCTCCTCTCTGGCCCTGATGTGGCCCTCGTTGGCCGTGCTGTGGCCCTGGTCTCTGGCCCTGCTGCGGTCCAGTCCTCTGGCCCAGCGGTGGTCCGGTCCTTTGCCCCTGCTGTTGCCCTGACTTCGGGCTCGGGTGTGGGGGCTGCTTCTGTTGCTGTCCGTTAGCATTTCCTGCGGGTGACTTCAGCTGCTGGTTCTGTGGTTGGTTCTGATTCTTGTTGGCCTGGTCGGGTTGAGAAGAGTTAACGTTGGGTTTCGGCGGTGGAGACTGTAACTTGGGCTGGGGTGACTCGGTTTTGGTCTGAGGAGCAGGGGTTGCTGGCTTCTGTTGCTGCTGTTCTGGCTGTGTCGGTTTCTGTTGCTGTTGCTGCTGTTGTTGCTGCATCGGGCCTTTCATCGTCAGAGCTGGTCCGGGACTCGGAGGAGGAATAATCGGCTTCTGAGGGGTAATCTGCGGCCTATTCATGTTGTTATTTTGTCCCCTTCGGTTGTGGTTCGGGTTCTGGAAGGGATGGTTCCTGAAGTTCGGGTTCCCCATCAGTCCACCTCGCATCGGGCCGCCGGGCCCACCGCCTCTGCGTTGTTGGAAGTGATTCATTCCGCCGCGATTATTGTTAAATCGAGACATCGATTCTTTTGAAGTGTTGTATTAAAAGAATTTAAAAGCTTATAATATGCCACGTAACTACCGTCTAGTACCGGTGTTAAAAGGCGACAAAATGGCGACTAACGTCTGTGTCGGAAGGTCTTTCTTTATTCAGCTCCGCGAGAGCCGCCCAGTGCCGCTCATTGGTCCACTGCCCTACAGGAGGAGTCTACGGGGTTTCAGAGTCAGAGTTGCAGGGGCTCTCATCACTGAGTACCACTATAGTACCACTCAAAACTTTATTTAATCTTTATTTAATGAGCTTTTTCTTAATTTATTTACGTTTTTATCTCTTGTTTACACATAGCACTACATTTTTTCGATTCTACTTACACCGTCTTTTCTCTTTTACCTCTATCTTATATCGACTTACTGTCTTTTCAGTCTGTTTTCCTTAAATTTTTTTCCTATTGAATCTTTTAGGCCTCTTATTGATTTTATTGTTTTTTTCCCGATAATTTTTGTTATTCCATTTTATCATCCAGTCCTGTTTCCTTCACCTGTATTCTATTGCAAAGATTAAACAGGTACTCACCCCACCAGATCTTGAAAAAATAATCCACGCTGGACTACTGTAACTCTCTCCTCCCTGGTTTAAACAAGAATTCACTCTCTCGCCTCCAACTAGTTCAGAATGCAGCAGCTCGGCTTTTAACTGGTTTTAGTAGACGGTATCACATCACTCCAATTTGAGCCTCCCTTCACTGGCTTCCTGTCAGTTTTAGAATTGATTTTAAGATTTTATTGATAACTTTTAAAGCGCTCAATGGACTTGCTCCGAGCTGCATTTCAGAGTTTTTAATACCTTATGAGCCAACTCGCAGCCTCAGATCCTCTGGCGAAGGCCTCCTGGTCGTTCCAAAGTCAAGACTCAAAACTAAAGGTGACAGATCTTTCTCCATCAGAGCTCCTAGACTTTGGAACGACCTGCCAGAGGAGATAAGGCGTACAGCAGAGACAGAAACTCACTTTTACAGACTTGCTTTTATGCGATGCTGTCTTTTCTCTTTTTTCTTATTTTGATTTACTATCCTTTTAGCCTTTGTTTTACTTATAATCTTTTCTTGTGTTAACTTTTAGGCCCTTTGTTGATTTTATTGTTTTTTCCTGCTCATTTTTGTTATTCCATTTTATCAGATAGATAGATAGATAGATAGATAGATAGATAGATAGATAGATAGATAGATAGATAAGAAAAAAAAAGACACTGGACCCAGAGAGACTTTTTGGGTCATTTATTCCGCATAACAGGTGTTTTGGAAACAAAGAAGTGGAGAGACCTCCAGTCTCACCTCAACATGTTATTTCATCCAAATCATTATAACAGACACAAAAAAGGTTGAGATGACAACAATGACAAAACACAACAAAACACAAGTCCAATAACAAAAAAAAATAAAAAAAAATAGAAAATACATATGACAACATAGAACCCAGGAGAAAACACACAGGACAGTGCAATGTTGTCACATGGGGGTAAATGTTGGAATAATAAAAAATGGCCACAAGAGGAGAAAAGAATAAAAAGTTAAAGGAAGCAAATATGTAAGGACTCGAGGAAATAAAAGAGACATTCATTGATTAGTGTACAACAATCAAAAAAGATGTCTTTTCTCCGTTTCCACCTCAAGTTTTCTTTTTTCCAATCAGGTTAGAGAAGAGGGGTCAGGGAATGTCAAGAGCAAAATGAACATTCACAAAAAGGAAAATGTAATACACCTGATAGATGTTTTAAGCACACATGACTCCTAAAAGTTACACTCCTCTGTCCAAGGGTCTCAAGTTGTTCAAGATTACTTTAGATAAAATCACCCTTCAGTCATGTTAGAACAGCTCTTTGCCAAAGCCCTCCCATTGTAAAGCCTATTTTTTTTAAAGAAGTGAACCATAGTAGAGTTGAGTTTAGTTTAAAATCTGACCTTTTATTATCTATTAGTGGGTTACAGTTAGTTGACAAAGGAGGGAGCTGGGGATTAGATATTTTCTTCGGTTTTCAGGGGGATTAATTAAAACTCTGCTCTGATGCAGCGGGAAAAGATACAGAGGGAGGAGTTTTTTATGGTTGGTGAAGGTGGTACTGATGCACTTGGATGTGTAAAGATGTTTCAAACAGGGAAGGAACAGTGAAACGACTCATGGTGTACAGTCTGTGAGGGCCTGCAACCATCCAGATAGAGGCATTATTTCATGCAACTCATTCTGGTCAGCCGTTCCCCTCTGAGCTTACAATCTAAATACGAAAACAAAGAATCTCCGATGAGGCAGTTCTGCAGAAAGAATCACACAAAGCAGAAAGAAACAGCCAACATGCAGGTGAGGGAGCTTGGAAATAAAAAGCACAGGGTGGCGAGGATGTCAATCGGTTAGTTTTATTTCAACTGGATTAAAATTCAGATTTCAAGATGCTTTTTCACAATCACCAGTGAGTCATACGGGTCCTTTTCTGTTGGTTTCAACATTTACAGGTAAGTGGTCACCCATGTAACACCCTGACAAGCTGTGCAGGACTGTCAGCGAGACTTAGTGGTGGAGAACGACTTAAATCAAGACGGACAGGCAGTCAGATTGAATTTCACCTCAAGAAATTTTGTGATTTTTTTTGTTTGGCAAGAAGCCCAGAGACAGGAGATAGATTGTCTCTGTTTAAATGAGCTTTGAGACTGATCGAATTTCTTTCTGATGATTCAGACCCGTGCATCAAAAGTAAGCAGGTCAATTCACAGCAAAAGGACAATATGTCTATCCTAGCCTGATCCAAAAGTAGGGATATACAATCTGACATGGTTATCAATGTGAACAACAATCATTTCGATTAGTTGGATTGGGTATTGTGCATAGAGAGCCTTGATTATCAGCTGTTTTAAAGTTTTTCATACTGCTAATAGCAATATCTACAAACTTTGACCAGTTCTGCAAAATACCAGCTGACAGAAACCAATTAAATACTCATATTGTCTGAGTTCATTTGTAATTGAATGATACCCAAAGTTAATGTTTTACTAACAGGGCTGTAAAAGTTGGATCTGTGCGCCCCTTAGAGTCATGACAGGGTCTCCACCAGATCTCTCACAAACTGGCACAGCAATGACGGATGGGGAAACATGTTGTAGTAAAAAGCACAGAGGAATGAGACAGCTTAAAAAAAGGAGGAGGCAAAATGAGGTAAAAGTGAAGGGAAACACACAGAGGGGGGTTGGAATTAAAACCAAAGGGAATGTTTGTGTGAGTCAGTGTTTCTCCCTCCGAAAGGCTAAGACTTGTGAGTGCGAGCACTTGGTCGATGTCGGTATCAGATCAGTGTGATGTTTGATTAAATCTGCGAGTAAGAGCGTGTGTGTATGTGTGTCTGTTGTGTTACAGATGTGTTGTAAAAGAATGGGGTCGGTTGGGTGCTCATGGCTGTTTCCTGTGGGATAACGGCAGATTGGGGGGTGGGAGGTCAGTGTCTCAGAGGGTCACAGTGGGGGATGAGATGAGGTCAGGTCAGATTCGAGGCAAATACTTGTCGATAAATTCCCTTACAGCCACCATCTCCTGCAAAAGACAGAGAAAGAGAGACACTCGGAGTGAATACTTGAGCTGCGTTTCCTTCAGTAGAGCACAGACAACAATTATCTCTCGAGGGGGTGTCTAACTCGGTGTTACGGTGTGTTTGACCCTAAATTAATTTTAGACAGATTACGGAAAAGGAAACCTGATTTTTTTTAAATTACAGCTCACCCAATTCACCAAAAGTTCTGTCAGCTTGAATGGACAGCTTTGCATTTCATTTCTTCCTATAAGTTTTGTCTGGGATCGGTGCACGGCTGGCATTTTTTTTTTGAACAAAGGTTTTACATCTTGACGACACTGCTGAGTGGACAGGAAGTGAAGTCTAAATGTCACCATACAAACTGTCTTTCTCCCTTTTTCAACTTAAATCAGGACCTCCATAAAAATTTAACTACTCCTACTCTGAATTTCAGTTAGAGGACGTCATCTTTTATCGGACATATAAAAAATTAACACACACACGCACACACTTTTGTTCTGCCAATGTACGCAACACACACAAACACCCACATAGACCCCAGTGCGGTACCTGAGGACAGGAGCTGTGAGAGAGGTGCGGATACGTTTTGAAGTTGACCAGATCAGGGTTGACTATAAATTTAAGTTTTTCATATGTCATGGCACCGAACTGCGGCGGGATCATGAGGTCACCCTCGCCGTGGCACTGCAGGATCGGGATATTCTTGTTGCCGCTTGACGCCTGCAGAAAAGACACATGACAGACTTAAACGATACCCAGTAAAAGAGTCAATGTTCGTCAAATCTGATGAAAGAGAACTTCTCTCCTTCCTGGTAAAAAAAAAAGCGAGAGAGAGAGAGTACCGAAGGGAAAGTCTTGTGAAGAGGTAACCAGCAGCTAAGGGCCACAACGCCGGCCAGCTGATGCTGACAGGTCAAGGCGGTATACAAGGACAAAGCCCCACCCTGAGGAGACAAACACAAAGGGTTCTCTTAGTACTCGTTTACATAATTTCATATTCATGTGTCTCATCGATTTCTCTTGTGGTTACTTCATGTAATGACCTACCTGAGAGAAGCCACCGAGAATGATACGGTGAGGGGGAATCCCATTTTTGGCCTCATGTTCGATTATGGCCTTGACTGGAGAACAGCAGGAAGAAAAGACGTCATGGAAACAAATCAGAAGGACAACAAACAAACTCTACATAGAAGAGTCCCTGTGATTCAGAAGAGACAGCTCATCTAGTTCAGCCTTGACTTATCAAACCGTGATGTTAAAGTCGTGGACAACAACAGCAGAAAAGATGCAGGATGAGGAGTTCTGGGATCTGTTAGTTCCTGAGAGTATTTTGGTTTATATGAGTCCAGCAAGTTGCATCAGGGGGAAAAAATTAAAATCAAGTTTTATTTGGATGTTACACAAAAATTAATTACATGTTTTATGTCAATAAAAAAAAAAAAATGTATTTGTGATATGACAACGCCCTCTGGTGGACGGGTTATGTAAAAACCTCGGGCTGGTGGTGACATTGCCAATACATTTGCCTCTTCAAATGACCTAGATTCAATTCTGTTTACCTTGATAAAGGACTCGCACTTATCTGATAATGCCTTTAGTCCCCACCTCTTTATCTCCACCAAACTGAGCTGGGCTTAAGTTTCATGGCGAGGTTATTTGTTTTCTTTCGCCTCTTTAATGTCAGAAACGTAAGGGTATTGAGCTTTTGTAGTAAACTGCTGACGGTGTGTTGCTTATGTCCCGTTAAACTACGGTGTATATCACTAAGGAAGGAACATCATTGATTGGTTTGTGAGGTAATTGGTCGGCTCAATCACAGCTCTCTGACACTCATCATCAGCATCTGAATGAACAAACAAAATGACAAATCCTTGCTGCGCTGGTTTCTCTTCGGACACCCCTGGTTTTTACATATCACCCCACAACAACATTATGTGTTCATGACAAATTAAACCGTGCCAGTCTTTGATTTAGGGACTTTCAAGGGTGAACTGCTGCTTTCCAGTGACTGTGGACCTGATTGATCTTCTCTGACAGCAGAAAAAGCTCACAGAGAAGTCCACAGGGTGAGAAACGACATCTCTTTTAACCGGGTCTTTAACAGAACTCACTGTTGTCTGCTGCCTTCTTGATTCCAGACTCGTCCTCTGGGGTGTCGGGTTTGAGCCCCATGAGGTCAAACCTGCGCACATGCAGAAACGAGGGTTTAGACGAATCAATAGATACAATCGCACTATTGTCAATCCCAGTATGGAGGCCCAATTGTGGTTTCCACGGAAACAATAGAATCCACTGTTGAGCTAAATGGCTGTTTCGTGTTTTCAACACGCCAACTCACCACGCAGGCATCGTCGCTTTCATATTGAGAGTGACTGGGATTGAGGGTCTGTGGGGAGAAACGAAACAGCAGATTGAAAAATTGACTTTATCTCCAGTTGTTCTTAAAAATCAATCATAAAAGCTCAGTGAACGTGACTGTTTATCACTGAAAATGTGAGGAAATTTACAACATCTATCACAGAAATCCTCTTCATCCAAATATAACCTTCCCCTACAGCTTTATGTTACTTCAATGACTTATAATAAATCTGGTTATGAACTGTCGTAACTTTGAAGACATTAATTTTAACAGAAGGATTGTAGAAGAAAGAGACTCACGCGTGGGGGCAGATGAACTTGACATGAGACGGCTGGATCTCCGTCAGAGTTTCTGCCCACCCGTGCCTGAAGGGGAACACACAGAAACAGCTCTTTGATTCCAGTTTCAACAAAATAATTCACTTTTTTACTATCAGACCCAAGGGAACAGCAGCTGGAGCACAACATGTGGTCTAACAATTACACATCACATAAAGGCATTTCTATTCAGTCTTGTTTGTTTTAGGACAGCGTTGAACTCCTCACTGGAGCTTCGGTGTTACAAACAGAGATGTTTCAGAGCGACCGATTTCTGGTCAACAAAGTCAAATTGTGAGAGAAGCTAACAGTAGCAGAGCTAGCACCACCTGCTGTCTCCTCAAGCCTGTGCAGGTCTAACATTGCTCTTATCCATACAGAGCATCCATATCCCCGTTTTAAAACGTGTTGAAAGAAGTTTCTTGTGTGTTATGTGTTAAAAACAAACACATAAAATCAATGAAGAGTGTGTTAACTATCAAATTATCAAAAAAGACGGCTTCCTGTGTTGTACTCGAGAAATTAACATGTATCACCAGAGAGAAAGCAAGTGAATTTGAGAAGATTTGGAGACACGCTGGGGCGCTGACGCTAATGCAGTGTGCTGAGTATATGTATATTTTATTTCATTATTATTATTTAATTTATTTCTGTTCTGTCTCATATCACTCTGTCCTTTTTTTATCTTTTACTTTCTATTTACTGATATTGTTATTGATAGTTGTCTGGACAACTCGACGTATGGTCTTTTTATAGATGAGAGAACTACACATTTCATTGTCCAACTGTCCATGTTTTTGATGTTGTGTTTTTTATACTTGTATATGTAAAAGTTCAATAAATATATTGATTAAAGAAATATTCAGACTCTCAGGAACAAAACAGCTCATTTTGATTTGGTGTTGTTGGTTCATCGTCTCCCGTTAGAATAAACTACTATTATTGTTGTGTTACTCGACAATAATAAACTCCGTGTGTCATGTCCTTAAAAACTAATAAAAATATCATATAAAAAAGGATTTCTCCAGAGGCTGTGGTTATAAAAGGTACAAGACAGAAATATCACTCACCCTGTGTCACCCAGTCCATGGAGGAAAATCACCTGCAACACATTAAAACAACAGTGGTGACTTTTCTGGTTCTTTTACATATTCACACAAAAAGAAGAACTTTATTGATCAATAAAGTTTATCTTTACTCAAAGACCAAATGTAAAGAAGCTTCTCTTTTCAGATACACAAACAAAGATCTTCTAATCACGATCTTCCACTGAAACATCAATCGCTCAGCAGTGCAGTATTTTCTATTTTCTCTTCGATAATTAATCAGATCACATCACTCGTGTGTACATGTTGTACTGCTGGTGCATGTTCTGCCAATCTGCTGCTTTTTCGCCAGGATAAGCTCTGGCTCTCGTTTTCCACACACGCTGCTCCCCGCAGAGAAACCAAGAAAGGGAATAAAAACAAAATCGCTGCTGGAAATGAGCGACTCTGCTTTCTTTGAAGGGATCAAAGAGGTTTTTCCTCCACGTTGGGTTTGAGAAGAAGCTTTGATCCTGTTCTGAATAAATCCCTGCGCCGTACCTGACGAGAGCTCCTTTAATTTCTACCTTCAGATCCAGAGGAGTATTTACACTCCGCCTGTCTGCTTACTGTGATTTGCCTGTTACATCACCTGTTACAGCTGCAGCTACAGGTGGAGCTGCTGGTGGATTTTTCTTCTGTTTCAAACATCAGTGATAAAGTAAATGTTTGTGTTTAATTCAAAAGCTTCAGGTTTATCTATAAATCTAATATGGGGGTTTAAATTTGAACACAATGTCAGTATTCTCTAAGTTCACTGATTGTAACCAAAATGACCATAGCAGTTGTAGTTAGCCACAGGTACAGCGAGTGGCAATTGATTGGCATTTCAGGGCCACAAAATCAAAAGTATCAATACTTCATTTGACCAACAGGCAACTCCTGTGCTGATTAAAAAGGGTGACAATGATTTATTGCTAAACAAGCCGACCCTCGTCAGCACAAGTCTCTCTTCAGCCGGCAACCAGACTCTAATTAAAGTCTAAACAGAGAGAAAAACACCTTTTATTTATTTTTTGGATGATGTTGTACACGTCCAGGAAACAGGCTGCTTCACTGAGCTGTGTTCAAGGTACACATAATCGCTTGTCTCAATAATTTCGCCTCTCTTTAAAGAAACAGGAAGTGACTTTCATCATTCTCTTTCACCAGACATGTTCTTTTTTCACCAGCAGCTATAACTGAGCTTTGCAGGCAAGAACAGACTCACTGGCTGCTGCTATTTCTGCAGTTTTATTGGCTCTTAAGTCATATGACAAAGTCAAAATTTCCAGAGTTAATTATAACCAACATTAATCTTATCACAGTCCCTTAAAGAGATTATTCTAATTGCCCGGCCTCCACATCGAGCCTCACAGAACAATAAATGTCTGATCTGGTTTAATTCAGGAAGATGTCAAACTTCTCCTCTTTTCAAAGAATCTGAACAGCCCCAGGAAACGGCGATGTTTGATTCTTTTTCCACTCACGGGTCAAAAGGTTATCAGTCAGGGTATCAGTGTGGTTTGGTGGTTGAACTCACCGCCGCGGTCTCCTTCTCCTTGGCGGACACCGTCACAGCCTCGGTGAGCAGCGGCACAGACATGTTGTTGCCACACATACACTGTAGAAGATGCTGAAGACAGAGGGAAACACAAAGATGGACGTCAACAACAGAGCACTCTGACAATGAAGCTGTTCGTATGACAGATATAACACAGGACCGTTTTTATTTTGTGTTTATTTCTGTGCAGAATAAAAGCCGTCAGCGCACACCCGAGGCTCCTGTTTCCTTTAATTACATCGTACTCGACTGATAAAGTTAAATTTAAAAAGTCTGATTTTTTAATCTGCAGAACAAGAATAAAAGCAAACTGGGACATTATTTCCATTCTGACAAACGAATATCTAACCCTGTACCTTGTATTACTTATCACATGAGGTTATATATCTTATTCTCTTTGTGTGAAATCCAACTGTTATCCGCGTTTGTTCAGAAACAACATGAATCTCCGCAGCACTCCTCTCACACAGCGGTTCCTCTCATCCCGACTCAGCGAGAGGATCAGGCGTGTGTTAGTAAAGCAGAGGGAGCACAGAAAACCGCCGTCGCCCTTGAATTTCGTTTTTGGACAGCTGTTGGTTCCTGCCACCTTTGACCCCACCTTGTCCGGCCCCTCGATCCTCTTAAGTCTGCACATCTAAATGCCTTTGCTCACCTGGTTTGTTCACTAAACCAATCAGGGCTGTCCCGATACAATATTGATATTGGGTATCGGTCCGATATTAGCAAAAAAAACAACATCGGATTATACCGTCCTGCATCTAAAATCTCCGATATCAGCACTCCGATACAAGCAGTCCATTCCAGACTCCATTCTCTGCTGGCGCCTCTATCCAGCAGCCCCTGGATGCGATTTTTTTTTTTCGTAAGATGCTAGGGAAAGGTCCCGCCTCCTTCGGCTCTGATTGGCTTGAAAAGCTGGGCTCCTATTGGTTATCACATGCTAAATCTGAGCGCGGGGGTGTCGACTCTGTATATTGAACAGAACATTATTGCAATTCTGAATCTCCTAACCCGACAGACGCTGAAGTTTCACAGCCATAAGGAATAACCAATCAGAGCCCAGTACTTGTAGCCAATCAGAGGCGGAGGGGGCGGGACCTTCCCCTTCCATCCTACAAAAAAAAAATAGTGCCCCCTGGACCCATCATGCAGAGCCAATGTAATCACACCAGCAGTGTGTACTAAGGTACAAACAAAGTAGTAAGGAGTAGGGGTGATGTCGGCCGTGTGGCAGTATTTTTCGTTAAAGTGAGTGCAAAACTTGTCATGCACAAGTTTGTGCCAATATCAGATCAATATCAGTATCAGCCGATACTGAAGACTACAAAAGCGGTATCGTATCCGAGGTAAAAAAGTTATATCGGGACACCTCTAAAACTAATCTATATAATAAACATAAAAACACCAAGAAGCCGAGGTCTCACAAAGACATCTCCTACAGGTCAAAGTTCAGCTGCTTCATCATTAAAATTAAATAAAATTAAAACACTGTCTATCTAAATATCTGTTGGCTTTTCTATTCCTCCAAACCTGTTTACCGGGGTGTGTCCAAATCCTGAAACTGGTTCATTTAAAGTAGGCGACATGCAGAGACACATGTGCCTCTGCTTCATGTACAGAAGTGTCTGTCATGTTGTTTTTCACATTAGCGATGACGGTGAGCAGGTCACCAAACACTGCATTCAGTCTGCGGGCAAAAACAAAGCTGGACATATTTCTAGCACACAAAGACACAAAGAGCCTGCTGCTGAAAAACCACAACAGAAGTCACCAGGTTTGTGTTTGTGTGTGTCGGCAGGTGTCTGAAGTCAGCAAGTAACCAGACACATTAACCAAATGAAACACTCCCTCTCTCTCTCTCTCTCTCTCTCTCTCTCTCTGCCTGTGGTGGTGCACTCAGCTGCAGATGTGCGACTCTGCACCGTGAGTCAGCCGCCGATAACAGGCATGAGATCAGGTTGTTTCTTTACAGTAAAGGCGGGCAGTAAAAGCTTTCCCTTCTCGATGCCCTTTAACTCCCTGAAGATGTGGCACAGGAGGAAGAGAAATGAGACGAGTCGGGCGGGTCAGCCGGCCGGCGGTCTGATTGGTAAACAGGAGATGAGGAGACGGGGAAATGTCTCAGACGTGGAGGTTAATGTGTAAACCTCCAGCAGGATTATGGTCCATGGGTGTTAAAATTCCACCGCTGTTATGACAGAGGAGGCTAAACGCCGCTCCGTCCCGCCTGTTTGCTCTGAGAAATGATCCTCTGAAGGTCATGTTCGCTGATGAAAATACATGTAAGCTGGCGGTGAATGTGTGATTCACAACCCAAAGTGGACAAAAGCAGGTTGTTTTTGCCCTGAATCCTGACCCTGGGTGAATAATTAAAGTGGAATAATAACAGCGCAGAGTTAAACTGGAGGAAATGGTCTCATTCAGAGCTGCACAAAGGCCTGGAATAAATCTCCAAGTATCAAACATATCAGAGGAAAAATGTCCTCGGTGGCTGGATGGATTGAAGTGGTTTTTTGTGGGTACGTTTTCAGTGTTGTTGTAATATTCAAGTATGAGATTTGACCACATTTAAAGATCTTTGTGGGCAGTTTTTCATTTAAATGTGGTGGATGCAGTGGCGGTTCTAGACCAAATTACTCCCCGGGCGAGCACCTCTCCAAGTGCCTCCAAGTGATTAAAAAACCTACAAAATGACGTATGCGCGCTCCCGCTGATATTCTGACATGCGTACACAGAGCAGAGCTGTCCCCCCCGCGACTCTCTCCCCGCCTCATCTCCTACAGTCTGTCAGCCTCTGTGCAGCACCTTCGGAGCAAGCAGGGGCGCCCACAGCAGCGGGGGGGCGCCAATTTGACAACAAGAGTTAATACAAAACCGCTTTGCGGTTAAGATTTATTATTATTATCTTTTATTTTATTTTTTTGGAAGTGCTCGTGCCGCCCCCCATGAGTCATGACACAAATGCCGCCCCGGGCGGCTGCCCTGTTCGCCCGTGCCTAGAACCGCTACTGGGTGGATGGATGGATGTGGAAGACATGCAGCAGAGAGGAGGAGCCTCGGTACACTGAGCAATAACTCCTAAACCAAAAGCAAATGGTGCAAATATTACCCGCATTTGTTGATCTTTCAGTTAAAGGTAGAAACAATCTGCACTCAAGTTAAAGGTGGGGTAGGCAGGATTCCGTTAAAGAAACATCTAGCGTGCTACAATATCGGACAGTAGAAACCAACCAGAAAGTTCGGAAAATTGTCTGAATCCTCCTTTGGCCACGACTGCCGACACAAGCAAGAAAACAAAGTAAATACCGGAGACTCTGGAGGAATAACGGGCGCTTAAAACGGAGGTAGACCGGACAAGAGCTAAAAAGCCGGGTCAACAGGCTTTGGGATCTTGTAACCTTTCTGCTGGACAGGTAAACCGCTTTAACAAAGTAAGACAAGTGTCTGTAACTGAAGTGTTTCTTGTCAAACGGACCTGCTGTAGCGTGTTGTAGCGCCATCGCTAAACTGTCCTCCCTCGGGTCCTGGACTATGTCACTTTATCCTCGTTGTAGAAGTCCTGCAAACATTGTGTTTGCTGGTAGTCTGTTGGCATCTACAGTAGCACCAATGCTTTTGACTTTCACCTTGACTGGGCCCCATTTGTAATGATCTGAAGGATTTATCTGCATTATATCTGAATTTAATTGGAACGATACAAGCGAGCAGGAGCGTCTGTTTGTGGGCGGGGCTTGAGGGGAGAGGAGGAGCTGAGGGGAAAACTGGTTGGGAGGGGTAGAGTTTACATTCAAGATTTCTTCTAAAAACTGGAACATCCTCAGATCCTGACTACCCCACCTTTAACATCTGATTTATCAACATGTGATTTCCTCTCTTTACCTCTCAAACAGTTCAACTTGAATAATGTTTTCATTTCAAGAACCATTAAAATACCTGACCTTAAAAAAAATTGATGAGACCAACATCAGCCCGCGGGCAAATAACGCTCCATGCTCAAATGTCATGTGTATCTTATTGCATCTTATCTTTATCTTCTCTCATAAATGTAATATTGGCAAACTAGTAAACTGAGGGGGGGATTTTAACGGGCAGAAATTGGTCACAAGCTTGGATTTGTGAGAAAGAAAATGTCGGCTGTGTGGAGGAATAACGCCGTCTCTGAGGAAGATGAGAGCCGTCCAGTTTGTAAAGATATGTCCCAGTGACATTTTAAAGGGTTTCAAGAGGAGGGGGACGGCAATTAAAATACATTAGATCTCCAATTTGAGACGCAGACACACAACAAAGGTTCAGAAAAGTAATGCTAATTTAACTGGTTCTAGATAACTGTTATTCTTAACATCTGATTTTCAACCTTAAGGGCATCTGTAGTTATTTGTATAGCACTAACAGCGTGTATTCTGCCAATGTAGTATAAAAAATAATAAATTTTAGACATAATCTAAGAGTCAAAAATAAAGTAGATGATGTTTTAAAAGTACTAAGTTGGGACGTTAAATTGACTGAGAATTTGCCTAAATGTTCATTAGTCCCCATTGCCCCTTCTTACCGTTTTTCCTTCTTAAACTAAAACCTGCTGAAACTTTTCTTGTCACTTTTACAGACAGAAATAAGACTCCTTCACTGACATCTCTTTCATCACCATGTTGGTAATAGGACAGGTGTTTTTATCAGCTGCAGGTGAAGCAGGTGGCTGTTCAACAGAGGTTTGGCTCTGCTCGAGGTTTCAGTCTGTTAAAAGAAGCTTTTCTTGCCAGCGTTATTTGCTCATGGTGGATTAATGTTGGGTCTTAGTAAATACTATTACAAGGAGGTCAGTCTACGCCTGCTTTTCAGGTCCAGACGACAAATAAAAGTTGATAAACCGATCTTTACTTACAAAGTTTTTGATTCCAACACATGAGCCACTGTATGTTACTACCAGTACATACTGTTTATAATATTACAGCACTTTTAGGAAGTATTCTGAACGCATTTTTTCACTAAACCCAAACTAAGAACTGTGGAGGCCTCCTCCACTTTCCCACCAGGGGGAATTAAGCTGCGTCCAACACCTCGGCCTGATTCTGTTTGACCAAACGACATGAACAAACGGTGATGTGATTAAAGCGTGCGTCACAAGATGTTCATTCGCCGTCGCCAATTTCTACTTCGGCTCTGAAAGCCCCCTTTTTTTTTGACAAATGTAATTCAGCTGCACTGAAATGGGAACAGCCTGAGCCTCACTGATAACATGACTAAAAGCAGTCTGAGTAAAAGGAAGAGGAGTCAAATAAAGATATAATAAAGGAAACGCAGAGAGGGAGCCAGAGGTGAGCGAGTGCAGGAACATCACACAATCTGTTTCAACATGTAGGACAAGCCCCAGAAATAGGTAGCATGCAAAGAGGCTGTTAATCACTTTTGTACCCTTTTTCTCCACCCATTATTGTTGAGTAGATTAACAGTGACCTGTACAGTGCACTGCCAACATAGAGCACCATGTGGGTTTCTCAGAGCTGCTCTCAGAAACAATGGCTCACTCTCTGTGCATCTGGAGGAGGCCGGTGCTTATAAATAGTGTCAAGCTGTGCACAAGCATCGAGTCCGATTCAAGCTGAGGTTAGAAACTACAGAGAGAAAAGAGTTACTCGTGTATGTGAATTCATTCAGCTTTTGATTTCTGAGTATCGACTTACACCTGCCGTCTGACAGTGCACTCCAACAAATGAAAGGCTGCAGCAACAACCTGATTATTAAGGGCTTCTTGATTTTCCACAGTCCTTAATAATGGGTATTTACCGAACACTTACGATAAATATTCAAGTCAGGGGTGGAAATGCACCGACGACAACCCACTGACACTCAAGGAAGCCTTGAAAGTATAAAAGACGGCGTGAATCAGACACAAGACGGTCTGTGATGGAGATTGTGGAGATCTGTTCTGAGACAGGAGCAGGTTTTGAAATCATCAAATTGTTCTTTAAAATGTCCGAAAAACTGGCAGCCAGAGCCCATTTGAAATAGTCATTTTGTTTGCAATATTGAGCCTTTTTATACCAAAAAAATGTGGATTAAGACTCAAGTGTATTTGTGCTTTTGTTGCCAAACAGCTGCTTAATATAAATGATCAAATTAAGTTTTTGAAACTAGTTAAAATCTTCATTTGTATGGTTTTTAGAACAGTGACAGCATGCAACTCTTGAGCCAGAGACCCTGATAATTTAACCAAACACTGAAGCGATAATGTCTGGATGTCAGCGCTGGGGCCTCCTCGCTGCGAAGTGACAATCACTTGACAGCTGCGCTCTAATGTAAAGATTAACCGCTTCTTTTCCATCAGAGTGAATTACATCAAGTCAGAATAAAGGCGCTCCTTTTCCCACTGTGAAAGTTTCACTTTTTCCCTCAATAAATAACTAAATAATCTATTTGAAGATTGATGAACGCTATTACGAGTTGTTTTCTTTGAGCAAATAACATGTAGCAAAGTGATGCGAGTCACTGACATCTAATATTTCTCCTGGTTTGAGTCACTTTGGTGATCTCATTGTTTACTCTCTCTTTCCCTTTAACCTTGATTATTTCTTTGTTGTCAACAGTCCCCTGAAGGTGTTCAATGCCAAAAACTATAGACATGGTTTTGGAAATGCAGAATTACAAATGTATGAGTAGGAGCAGGAGTCGAAGAGTACTAAAAAAATACGCTGCCTACAATATTAATAATGTCAAAAAAAAGGAGGATTCTGCAGCAGTTGATCATTTACAAGACAATCCTAGAGTATCAATACTATTACTCTCATCATTCTCTTTACTTAAATAGTACATATACTTAAAGCATCTTCTTTGTTACTTTTGCATAGTGTGAAATACGATCCGCCTGAAACACAGAGTGTTTTATTTTGAAAAGAAGCCGGATGTTTTATTTTGTGTCTGTGCCCGACTTCCTTTCCAGCACAGGTTAATCTGTGCTGAATTTATCCGCCATGCTACGGCGTCCGGAAAAAACAGAAACAGAACTCTTGCGATCAGCTGCGGAGTCCGGCGATCGGCAGCGGAACGGAAAGAAGCTGGTAGAAATTGACACGTTAACTTGAATGGTTACGATCAGCTACGATCGACTGATACAGCCTTGTCGTAGCTGTTCCGGATGCGGTGGGATTTGGGGGTAAGACCAGTATCATCTTTGTTACTGTAACCACGAGTTAGGTTGTGCTGATAGTTTGTCTATGTCACTGTGACTTAGTAAATGCTGCAAAGAGTCAAATCATGTTTGATTAAGGAGGGATAGGAGATCTTACGAGAAGAGACACAATCTTATCTAATATCAATGTTGTGTTTTCATTTGGTTTCTTCCTGCAGATGACATGTTTTTGTGAATTGGCGCTATATAAATGTTAATTAATTTAAATGTATGGATGCTTGTCCGCTTAAGGCTTCCATACAAAGCTACAACAACGATACTAGGTGTGTGGTAAAAAAAATGAGAATAAGTGTTTCTGCTGTTTCTTCTTTTTTTGTGACACAAAGCAGGTCAGGAGGCGACAAACAGAATCGACTCAAATGCTACAGCCAAGTTAAAACACATCACGAGTCTCCTCCATCCTGCGTGACTCCGATTACATTTAAGTCAAACACGGAAAAATAGGAGCGTGCTGCAGTCTCACACACACACACACACACACACACACACACACACACACACACACACACACACACAGCTCTTTGCTCAGTGGCTATGGATGGCTGGCAAACAACAGGATAATATGCGGCATTGAGTGACAGGCATTCCCCCTCCTCCAACACACACACACACACACTCTATCTAGTAGCAGCTCTCTGCTCTGGTAGCTAGCAGGGGTCGAATTAAAAAATAAAACAGAAAATAAAATCTTTGAGGTTTTAACGTGATCAGATGAATGTGTGGAGAGTCTGCAGAGGAAGCAGCGGGTGGAGGAGGAGGAGGTGGAGAAGAGGAGGTGGAGGAAAAGACAATGAATGGCTGAAGCTAAGCTCTGTTATTTGACCCATCATCATCATCATCGTCCTCAGTAGCACTCGAGTTTAATCCCGGTTTAGTCACACACTCACACACTAACACACACTCTACACAATAACCGAGCCGACGGTAGTACGGTACAGATGCTAGCTAACGCCGCACACACTCATGCATTGTCTCCTAACGGCTCCTTTCATGTCCGCTCCAAGCTAACATTAACGGCTAAAATTCGGACCTCTAGCGCGCCCTCCGTTTGAGGACCCCTTAAATATCACTACGCTCGAATAAGAATCGGTTCGGACCCGTTTAAAGCGGTGGAAATCCCACCCGCGGCCCATTAGCTTAGTACGAATTCATACACTCACCGCTTGCTGTCCCAGTTCTCGACGGAACGAAACTTCCGCTAACAGCCGCACACAAGCAGGGGGCGGGGACAGAGCGCGGTGACGTCAGCGCATAGCCACGCCCTGCCGTAGATCACGACGGTGGCAGTGGTTTTATTTGTTAATATGTATTTGTCGAAAAAAAAAGAAATCTCTCGATCGCTTGTTAAATTTATATTATATATACATTTTATATGATTAACTTTAAGTGTTTTAGCATTCATCTCTTTCTAGTTTTAATCACAGGATCGTCTTTTATTAAGGTATTTTGGTGTTTTTACTTTAACATCTTTTACTCTTGTTTTTATTTCATTTTATTCAATATTTCTTAAATTTTGTTCTCCTGTGTTTCCTTATATGGAGTTTTAAAATGATGTTTCCTCAGTGTGCACATTCCTGTTTCCACAAAATTGAGCCCTTTTTAAGTTCATCCATTTTTATCCTGTTTCTGTTGCGTTTAGATCGTGGGGTGGGAATGAGGGCTTGGGTTGGGGTAGATTTGGGTATTCTTTGTTTCTTTTATTCCTTTTTCTGTGTAAAACACTTTGTGCTACATGGTCGTCTATGAAAAGTGCTATAAAAATAAAGAATGATTGATTGATATATGTCGGTTAATTAAATTCCAATTTACATGATGTTTTAACTGTTTCACTGATTGCAATATAAAAACAGTCAGACCATAACACCTCATTCACAGCATAGAGTTGGTGTAAAATATCATTTTAAAAAGCCTTTTTTGTAAACAGAGATTTAAAGAGTTTTTTGATTTATTGTTTTCTTCAATGAAATGGTTCTTTGAAATAATAAAATGTTTGCAACTCCATGTTAAAATGTGTGTGTATATTTCACCAAACTGAACATTTCAAGTTTTTCTTAATGGGATCTTCAATTTGTTTTAAAGAATGAGCTTATTTGTATTTATTTATTTACTATTTTTTTATTTTTTTTATTTACGATTTATTATTTATGTATTTTATTTATTTACGATTGATTATTTATTTACTTTTTTTTTGGGGGGGGGGGGGTAAATTAATAAAATTACTAATTTAATAGGTGTGGTGGCCGAGAACCGAAGCCCGGTGCAAATAAAAATTAAAAAAAACGTGCAGATTAAAAAAAAAAAGGTACTTACTGCGAAAATAAAAGGATGCAAACCAAAAAAGACTCAACAGACTCACTTTTTTGTGTCATTAACTTCTGTTGTGCCTTTTTTTTTACCTGCACCATTTAATTTTTTTTCTGCAGCGAGCTACGGTTTCTTTTTTTCCATCGGTCACTTCCGTTGTGGCTTTTTTTTTTTTTTTGCATTCTTTTTTATTTGCAGCAGTGACAGTTCTCGGCCACCATAAATAGGATATTAATTCACATTCATAAACTTTGCTTCTACATTGTAATGCGAAAACCTGAGCTTACATACTTCACATTAATATCCATAACATCATCTTATCTAAACTAGACCTTCATATTTTATTCAAACAGTTCATTTGTGCACATCAATCCTTTTAATTTCATTATTTCAGGTGTTTAAATATGAGATTTTTTAACATGCTGTCTGAGATACTCAGCATGCTGTTAAAGCAATGGGCAGGCTGCCACTGACTGCATCACTAATGCTATAAATCACAGTAAAATACCTGCGTGAGGGAAAAGGATGGAGGTGTGAGGGTGATAACAGTACTTCAGGGAGTATAAAGCAGCAGCGAGTTTTCCTCTATAAATCAGACAGCAGCGTGGATGTGATGGGTTTGTATTACAGGGGTGTTGTAGAGGAGTCACAGTCCAGTCCATTTGTGACTGCTGGAGAAAGAGAGTAAGGACCTCTGCTGCAGAGCTCTGAAGTCTTGGATCTGGTCCAAGCCTGCACCTCGGCGCCTTCCTTTACAGATTAATTCCTCGGCTCGCTGTAGCTCTCCAACCGATGAAAGCAAAGGTTCACAATCAACCGTGTCAGTGTGTCATGGAGCTGTCTGGGAGGCATTTCTGCACATAGACAGACTTGGAAAATTTCATCAACATAAAACCACCAGAGCCCTTTTCAGACACACGACACCACTAGATGGCAGAAAATATCCAGCACTTGTTATTGACTGTTTGACTGATTTCATAACATATAAAAAAAGGTCATTTCACAGGTGTTGGATGTTTTTTGAAGTCTTTTAAATTATGCTCATGCGCGCAAAGTGGCTTAAGATGTATTTTTATTGAGTGGATTGAAGCTGATTGTTGTTATTCTGCATATTTCAGGAACCTTTCTGGATGCATCTTAACCCCAAAATCATCAAAATTTATCAAGAATGTAAACATGGCAACCAAAACGCACTTTCACATGATTTAATTGCAGCCTTTAGCATTTTATTCAAGAGCAGCCTTCACATTATTGAGGTGGTAAATATCTTCAGAGATAAACAGGCAAGAGCAGACTGTATCTGAGTGTGATAGGTTTCATGCATTTATTATGAAGCTTTCTGCCACATTAAGCCCTCACTCTGTATCAAAATAGAAAACAGCGCAACATCTTGGCACTTCCACACACACCTGAAGCTCTGCGGTCTTCAGGTTTCTGCGCTCAGCCCCCCGTCGAGTTCACCCAACCTGCTGCACGCAGCGTTGACCTCAGCTTAGCTCATCTTTTATTCGACTTCTGACAGGCAGACGCCACTGAAACCTCCCTCCTAAATCCTTCCTCATCCTCCTGACGCTCTGAGGCTCTCAGGAAATGAAGTTGGTTTGTGGGATGATGCTCTCCACTTTGTGATCTGCAGGGTTTGCCGCTGCCTCGTAGTTGCAGATCGTCACTTCGTGTCTGTGAGCCTGAAGAGCACACGGAGAGAAAATCAGGTCAAGTGACAGAAACATAAGAGGAATCAGATAAAGGCTATTTAAAGCTACAGTGAGGGGTTTTTATCTGGTTATGAAACAGACTAAAATCAGCTTTGATGCTTCTTTATGACAAGGTTGACAATTATCATATGGTTTTTGATGCCTTAAACTCATAATAATGATGGTAGAATCTGTTGGGATGATAACTGTTCCCGTTTCCAACACCAGCCTTAAAACATAAAAAGTAGGATTTGAATGCATGAATGCTGAGGTCGGTGGTCATTTTTAACCCACAGGATATCAGGAAAGCATGTATATCAGAATAAGAAGAGGTATTGTTGTGTTTTATTAAGGCTACAGCAAGATTTTCTGTTTTATTTTTTAATGAAAGGAGTTTGTTAATATTTACCAGCATCACACCATCAAACAGACGCACAAGGATCCCTCAGAGTAAATTCAACTCCCCAAAGAATATCAAATAAATCAAAACGATATCCTCTTTCAGAGCGAATCAGAGCTGACGCAAACACCACAAACAAGCATGAAACAGAAAGAGGAAACAGTCCAACACACAGACGATTTATGACACAGAAGAATATCATCTGCATCTGCAAACGGCATCTAAACCGGATAAATGAGCTTTTTAGTTCAGAGAAGAGAGGAGGAAAACAAAACAAAAACGAGATTCAAAGTTCTCTACCTCTGAGTATTCTCCTCTCAGGCCGATGTAGTAAACTCTGGTGTTCTCGTCCCCGAAATTCTTGGAGATGTGGATGGAGAGGTGCTGAACGTTGGAGAAACGAGCGATCCTGAAAAACATTTCACATCATTTTAGTCTGTAAAAACGGCTAAAAACTCTCAAACTCAGAGGAAACAATACTGAACCAGAAGGAGAGGTGGGTCTCAGACTCACTCGTGGTTTTAACGCTTGATTGGATTTCACTGCATCGTGTTATTAAGTGTCAAACAGAAACATTGACTTCATTTCTTCACTTTTACATCTTTATGTTTCTGAATGCTCAACTTTGAGAGTAGAAATACTGACTACGAGAAAACACAAAGACAGTGAAGTGACAAAGAATATCTTGCTGATAGTCTGTCTCATAACTTCAAGAAGATGACTCGCTGTTGTGTCGAGTAGTGGATATGTTTGGGCAGAGGCGTTGCTTTTCTCAATAAAAAAGTATTGAAAAAGTACTAAATCCATCTCACTACACAAAGAGATATGTCAAATGATGGGAGTAAAATCATGAGTGTCACTGTTGATGCTTTTCTCACTTTGTTGGGTACTCCAGCTCAGCCAGAGGGTCTCTGTTGAGTCTAAAGGCTTGTTCAGGTTCTCTGCCAGTATCGTCAAAGGACATCTGAGGTATGTTTTTATACCTGAAGTACAAGAAAAACAAAGAATTAAACTTTATGCACAAAGGTTGTCAGTTATTTTTAGTTATGAAGGCTATTTATCCAGTCCACCAAAATTTGGGGGTGTTTTGGAGGACACAGAGGGTTAAGACACCACTGCAGTTGTACCACTCACAGCCTAATCTCAGCAGGATGAGAGTCGTCGTTTTCTCCTGATATGATGATGCCTTTTAGCTTCACGCTGCCTGTAAAACTGAAAGAGAGAGAGAGAGAATCAGGACAGAGATAACAAGACGCTGCGAAAGAGGAGACGAAAACAGAGTCTGTCACATGAGAGACGGTGAATCATGAAAGAAACCAAAACGGAGGAAAAACAGAATCAAAAGGAGAATAAACTGAACAGCTTTGAGGACTTACGGGATGTTGAACAGCAGCTCTTCATCTGCATCGCTCTCTACATACTGGAGGGAAAAATACAAAGTCATCATGAGGCAACAATTAAAACACATCATGTCCAACTGTTATGTCCAGACTCTATTTATTTTATATTTATTACCATTAAAAATAACAGTGACGTGTTGCACAAAAACTGGGATAAAAGGGTTATACATTTAATTTTCTATTTGTTATTTTTTAATGAACAGGGCAGAAGTTGTTTAAGAGATATGAGTCGAAAAAAGTAAAAAAAAAAATGTTAAAAAATGATTATTTTATGAACCAAGGGTTAAGACAGTGATTTAACTGTTTAAAGGCCATAATGATTCCAAAAAGAGAAAACAAAAATGAGCTTAATGATGGGAAAAATCATCATAAGAATATCTGAAAATATCTGTTGCAGGCTGAAATACTGCATGATTAAGCTGTATAGTAGTATTCTGATAGAGTACTTTAGCCTGTAGCACAATATTTTTAGAGTTCAGTACTTCTTGGACAAAATTTGGGATGCACCGATCCGATATTTAGATCGGATAACGACTCCGATATCGACACTTTTTTACCAGCTGGTCAAACAAACAAACTATCAGCCTTATGTTCGCTGTAACATTTGTTAATAAAGTTATGATTGATTCGATCACTGCGCAGACCCACGACCACTGGTCTCCCCCAGGCTCACACCCCACAGCGGCACACAGGCTGGATAACTGACCGATAAAGGAGCTCTGTAGGGCGGTTACCTTGTCCCGCTCCATCCGCCGGTCCCACGGTTTGAACACCATCTTTCCGTCCCCGTCCCTGCTCTCGTTCAGACACTGCAACTTCTCCAGGTCGATCCGCCGATACAGTCCGTACTCCAGGCCCCTCTCCGCGGGCTCATGCTCCCCCTCACACCCGCAGCCGTGTCCGTGTCCGTGCCCATGGCCGTGCCCGGACATCGTGGGACTAAAAACACCACTTTGTGAGAAAACTGAGGTTAGTTAAAGAGGGAAAAGGAGAGCGATAGAGGTGTTTGTTGGACCACCTTTGAGCAAGTTTCACTTCGCGGACAGAAGCAAACTGTCGTCTGTGTCAAGTCACACGAAATATAACATCTACTTCCGGATACGTATTTTCAAAATAAAACCAACGAGTTGTCCTTTCACGTTTTCAAATCAAATTAAATTAATTTAATTTTTTCAAGCAATTAATGCAGACACTTTAACATGATATGATACATGATATAACATGATAACATAACATAACATAACATAACATAACATAACATAACGTAACCTAAAGGAACGTAACGTAAAGTAACGTAACATAACATGAAAACAATCGCATACTAACATTCTAAAATCAACCGCATTAAAACTCATGCAAAGTTTTTTTTCGTTTCGTTTGTTTGTTTTCAAAATAGATTAAGTTTGACGTTTATTTTTTTTTAAATAATATAATGAACCAAATGAGACTATTAGTGACAGGATTGATGATTTTTATTTTACATTTTTTATGCCTCTAACTGGTGGGTAGTTGTAAGCAGCTGAGAAAAAAAACAGCCCTGTTTTTATCATTTCCATGTTAAATATTCACATAAAATGTAAGATTTGACTGTCCAAAGTCTAAAGCAGTGGGTTCTCAACGGGTGGGTCCCGACCCAAAAGAGGGTCACGGACACGTTCTGGATGGGTCGCAAACAGCTGGTCGAAGTAAATATTAAATGCGCATCTAATGTTTGACGTGTCTTTTATTTTGAAAAATAGCTTATCTTAAAATGCATATAAGTCAAATCTTTTCATTTTGTTGGTCTTCATTTTGTGTAAATGATATTTGATATTTTCTGTATATTTCTTTTACTTTTTTTTTTTAATAGTATACTTGTAGATTCCGAGACTGCAGGTTTCACGGATCTAAATTACACACGGTTTATTCTGAAAGAGGATGCGCCACACCGGAAGTTATTTCCGACAACAATAACGCGAATTTGATTAAATTAACTGCAAAACATGGCACACGTGACGTGCTCTCGGATTGGCTCGAATCTCCAGCCACCAAACGACCATGTTGTCGTAAACCGTTGTGAAGGTTTTCCAGCTGTGCTGTAAACATACATTTGTGAATTAGTTCACGTTTTTTTTCACACTATTTGAATAAAATAAATATAACACAGTCATATTTTCCGGCTCAGATTGTTTCCCCTTTAATCATGTAAAAAAACAACACAAACAGATATAAGGGCAAAAGTCAATTTAATAAAAATGACCATATAACATTTATTAAAATCTAATAAAATTACAATTTAGAATCTAGCTCTATTCAGGCCCGTGTTGTTGGGGTTCTGGGTCCCAGTGTTCAAAATAAATACATCTCATTGTTGTTGTACATCGAAGCTGAATTATTCCTATCTGCTTCTTTTTTCCTCGGTATTTTTCCTCGTTGGTTTTTCTTCGGCCCTTTCTCAAAACTGTCGTGTCACAGTGAGGCAGATAAAAACAAGGATACACACATCTGACAGCAGGAAAACAGGATCTGAAGCCACAGGCGGGTTAAAACAACTCTACTATGCTCGTGCAGGGGCAGTCCACTGATATCATATAATCCCTACACATTAAAATAATCATAATAACGCTGAGTAACATGTTAAAATATGGTTGTCTTTTAAAAGTAGGGTCTTTAACCTGCTGCCTCTTAATACCGTGACTGTTGAGCACCAGGTGTGCCACTGAAGGACGAGAGCATGTAGTGTATCATTTGATCCATTATAGAAAAGAAACTCAAGAGTTCAATATTGAAGGAAAAACACATTTTCTTCTCCCGTCTGACTCTAAAAGGAAAGTCAACGATGCTCACAGGTCTTATTTATGGGAGTAAAACTGAGTTAGCTTGGCTGAGCATTAAGAGTGGAAACAGAGGGGAAGTCTTCTGTAAAGGACACGGATCATAAAGTGATGATAGTGAATTTTTGGAGGTTGTGACAGAGCCAATCTCGCTCCTTCCCCTTTCTTCGTCTTTATGCTAAGGTAAGCTAAGACAGCTGCAGATCTGTGTGTGTGAGTGTGAGTGATATCAGTCTTCTCTTCAAGAAATAAAGGGTGTTTCTCAAAAGCTGAGCGCTTCCTTTTAAGAAATATGACATAAGTAACAGACAGTATGTTTATATGTGCATGTGTGTGCATGTGTGTGTCCTTTCCATCCGGTAAAAAGTTCATGTTTTACACAGATGTGACTCCTGATGATCCTCATTCAGATTTAAATACTTATTCAAAGACCCTTTCAAACTAATGACAGCGTTTAAATTAGAAAAATACATCATCCCACCAAAGTTCATTTGATGTGTTCGGTGGGTGAGGATGTTTGTTTGCAGGGCCGTGAAGGTTTTTTTGTTTTTTTCTTATTTCACTTAAATTAAAAACACAGTTGGAATTCATTAAATACATTCAGCCTCATTCACACTATCGGCGGGAGAACCGGTTCTTGAAAGCTTTGATAGTCTTGGCCATCATGGGAGCGATTTCTGAGAGGGGAGGAGCACAAGAACAAAGAGTCTGTGAGATTTTCATCATTTTAAAACAGAATTTTGATCGAGTGTAGCAGGAAAACACACACTCACTTTTGACCTGTGGTTTGTCCCTTGCTGCGTGTCCTCCTCCTACTCCTCCTCCTCCTCCTCCTGCTGCTCCTCCCCCGCCGCCTCCTCCTCCTCCGCTGGGCGCTGAGGAGCGAGACGAGCTGGGTGAAGGGGTGAGTTGGGATAAAGAGGAGCGGCTTGATTCACCAGAGTAGTCTGTGGCAGCTGGTCTGATTCTGGGAGACGACAAAAGGCGAGTGAGTCAGCGGGATATCGAAGTGTCACCAAGTCAATTCTGGAGGTTATTTCTGATTTTATGTTAGAAATAAAACAACTTTAAAGGTGGGGTAGGCAGGATTTTGTTTAGAAGCATCTTTTTTGTGGTGTATTTACAAAAAAACTTTTAATACCAGTCAATAGTTATTAGTTATTAATGACATTTGATAATGAGTATTAATATTTGATGAGTATTTGCATAAATAGATTCAGATGTACATTATTGTAATCAGAGGTCATTTCTTACCTGATGGGAGCTGCGGCGGCGGTGGACGCGGCTGTGGATCCGCCGCTGGTGGTGCCAAACTTCTCCTGTCGACGGCGAACGTCACGCGGTGGCTTGGCAACAGAATTCACAAACGCCATCTTTACCTGGCGCCCTGCAGAGACAAACACAAGATTACGTCAGTCAGAGGCGTTCATAAGTGAAACTAATATCTGTCTCGTTTGTGTGAATATGAACCTCCGTTTTTGCTGCTTCAGACAGCAGGTTTATATCATCTGTTTCTGATTTATTCATCCATCTGTTCATGTAACCTGATGTGTTATCACTTCATCCAACACCTCAAATCAACCTCCCCCTCAGTCTGAAGAAGTTTCTGGACCTTTTGGTTTGTTGGCGTGAGCTGAGGAGATGTTCTGGGTGAGCAGCCTCAGCCTCTCCTCGCGCTCGTCGTGCAGCCTCAGGTACATCTCCCTCCACGACTCGTACTCCTGAGGAGACTCTCGCTTGAAGTCACGCTGACAGTGACGCATCCACAGCTCGTCCGAGTCCTCGGTGAACCACTGCGGAGAGAGGAAACGTCCTGTCAGTCTTTTCAGGACTCTGTTTGATTGTTTCTCTTATTTTTTTAATCGTCTTTTATGCAGATTTTTCGATCGGTGAACTCTGAGGACACTGACATGAATAAGAACAAAATCACTGTGTGCTGCTGTTCCTGCGTGGACCTAATGACACCCACTCAGGTCTGGGTGAATGCTGCACAGACAAGAAAGCCACTTGGCAAATTTCCGACATGTGGTTGGATAAAAAGAGCTGACTGGACATTTTGCTTCAAGGACTTTGGTCGGTGCATTAAAACCGTCTTTTCTGCTGACTTTGGTGAACTTTGTGACGCCCACATGAAACAAGTATTAGAGTAAAGTTAAACACTGACAGGTGCAAAAGTTTGGGTGAATAATGTGGAGTCCTCCCAAGTTTAGAAAGACAAGAGCGTGTGAGTGTGCGTCTCACCTGATTGCTCTGCTCGATGCGGTACAGCTGCTCTGGCGTACATCGCTCAAGTACAGGCTCCAGGATCACAAACGGCACTCCTCCGACCTCGGCGATGGCTGAAAGAGCAGAGAGGAACGAGAAGGTCACACCTGAGTGGTTGTTTTCACCACCTTGACATTACGGGTGGGTGGGGACAAACATTTGGATCATTTCATTTTTCATTTTATTATTATTATTTTTTGAACATGTGCACACAACAAAAAAGGTAAACTGAAAACAAATAAACAAAACCAGTGAGAATATTCTAAACAAAATTAACAATAATCAAAGCAAAAAAAGTGAAAATAAAATAATAATCAAAGCAAAAAAAAGTGGAAATAAAATAATAATCAAAGCAAAGAAAGTAAAAATAAAATAATAATAATTAAAGCAAAAAAAGTAAAAAATAAAATAACAATAATCGAAGCAAAAAAAGTAAAAATTAAATAATAATCAAAGCAAAAAATAAATAAATAAATAAATAAAATAATCAAAGCAAAAAAGTCAAAATGAAAATAACAATAATCAAAGCAAAAAAAGTAAAAATAAAATAATAATAATTAAAGCAAAAAAAGTAAAAAATAAAATAATAATCAAAGCAAAAAAAAGTAAAAAAATAAAATAACAATAATCGAAGCAAAAAAAGTAAAAATTAAATAATAATCAAAGCAAAAAAAAAGTAAAAAATAAAATAACAATAATTGAGGCAAAAAAAGTAAAAATAAAAATAACAATAATCAAAGCAAAACAATTAAAAATAAAATAATAATTAAAGCAAAAAAAGTAAAAAATAAAATAACAATAATCAAAGCAAAAAAAAAGTAAAAAATAAAATAACAATAATCCAAGCAAAAAAAAGGAAAAATAACAATAATCAAACCAAAAAAAAGTAAAAATATAACTAAAATTAAATAAAATAAAACTAATAACGCGAACCCAACGTGTCGGAAAAGGAGCAGGATGAAGCATTGTGCTTTTTTTTAAACCTACCCCTTCTCCTTTACTCAATAATATCCGTCAGTCTCCAGCAAAATTAAATTATATTCACAAAAAAATACAACATAAATAGAATAAATAAGTGTATAAATCATTTGAGAAAACACCCGATAGTTACTGTCCTTCTTCCTCCCTGTACCTGCTGAGAACCATGTTTTTGTACCACTTTTTAAACTGGGTCATACTTGGACAACGCTTGAGCTCCACACCTAATCTGTTCCACAACCTTACTCCACAAACAGAAACACAAACACCTTTTAATGTTGTACGTAAAGTCCCCCTTCAGATGATAACCCCCAGCTCTGTTAAAAAACTATTTTTTATCAGGTATCATCAAGTTTTAAACACAGAAACCTTTTCAGTCACTCACAGTCGATGTTGTTCTGAAGCACACGGATGCACTGCTCGTACAGAGTCATCATCTTGGGCAGGTATGCGGTCTTCGATCCTGAGTAGACAACCATTTTGGAGTTGAACCGTTTCCCCGTGAACCCGGCATCCTCCTCATCGTTGTAAACAGGAACTGAAGAGAGCAGGAGGTAAATTTAGAGAGCCACCAGGACAGAAACCAGGTCACACTTTTTAATCATAGAGCGAGTTTCCAGATGAGCGTTTTTATCACCTTTCCGTCTCTGAGGGGACAGCGGTGTGACATCGATGGAGGGCAGAGGTCTGTAGTTTGGCTGAATCGCGGGCAGAGGGATGTCAGGAAGAGTGGGAACCGCCTCGACAACCTGCAAACACACCGTTACCGTCAGCCAGACAGATCTGCAAACAACTCTCCAAACTGGAGGGCAATAAATCAAACACACACAGAAGAAAGAGACAAACTACCTGAAGGGTGAAATGTGAAGTTAAATGATCACAGATTTTTGATTTGATGGAAAAATATGAGGCTACGACCAGCAAACAGTCAGTTCAGCCTGCAGAGCTGTTTTTCTTTCACCTTTCTGAGGAGTTCACGATGACGAGTAAGTCTGATACAAGTGGAGAAGAAACTGCACAAAAGAGCTTTTGTGATACTGGAGACTCTTAATCTGTTTGAGCCTTCGAAGTCTGCAAGGTTGCCGCTCATCTCTGTACAGCCTTGGTGTCACTAAAGCCGATGTTGCTAGGAAACAGGCCCAGTACTTCAAAATAAAAGCACAGCCTTGGTTCGAGAAGAGAAGTACAGACAAAGCTCAGAAAGGAAAGTAGAAACTCATCGGCCTCCAGATTACAAACTCAAACCAGAACTCCTCTGACAACCAAAGACGAAGATTATCCTCAAATCCAGTATTTTTGTACAGGGTCTGCAAAAGCAAACTAATTTATCGCTGCAACTAAAAAACCCGAAAATAGTACGATGCATCTTTACTTGGAGAATTTGATCCGTTAAATTTATTAAATCTGTTCTGTTAGAATTAATCAAATAAATAAACAGCCAATTTGTCAAGAGAAAGAAAAACAAACAAACAAAAAAAAGCGTTTGTACACAAAAACTTCACAGCTAAAGCTTCAGTAAGGAACTTTCTGTTTGGGTCGGCTTTGGCGCCCCCTGTAGACAAAATGCTCACTCTCAACTCTTTTATTATGTTCAAGGGGGGTTTTCTAATTTAAAAAAAACTCATCCTGGTTTCTTTTGAAAATCAACTCTATTATTAACGGTGAAGAATAATCCTGGAAAAGTTTTAAAATATTTTTTAGGGTCTTTTAACCTCACGGGCAGTTTCCATTAAAAAACATTTGAGTGTCAAGAGTCAGAAGGATGAGATTTTTGTCAGAGGACGCGACTTAAGCATGAAGAGGACAAGAAGAGTAATGACTTCTTTGTCCACAGGGGGGCGCCACATTTGAAAGAAAAAGAAACCCGTCAGTTTCTCATTGATAATTGCTTTTCTAACCAATCAGTGGTGGTTTGAAAGTAACTGACCAATCACGGTGGCTTTGTACAATCTTGTACCGTCCAGATTTCTTATCAAGATGTAAACGTTGCTGACTGCGACTTTAAATTCAAATTATTCTGCAGCTCAGATCCTCCGTTTTACATTTATAGCCTTTTTCCTTTTTCACTTCCATAGTCTTCCTCCACATACATTTTTTGGATATCCTTTAAAGAGCTCTTCGTACTCGCTAAGTTTAAATCATTATCGGTAAAATGACCTCCTTTGAAGCTGATCTAGTTTCCTCTTACCCTCTTTCGTTTCTCGGGCGTCGCTGCAGCCGAACTGGAGCCCGAATGCGACCTCTTGCTGCTCTGAGTACCGTTGGCTTTGCTCGCTTTGGATGAAGAGGAGGACGAAGAGGTGGAGGAGGAGGAGGGCGCGGGCAGGTGCGTACGTGTGGAGTGGGACGATGACGTGGAGGACGCAGAGTGAGATGGCCGACTGTGTGACGAGGAGGACGAGGACGAAGGCTTCTTCTTCTTCTTGGCAGGCGTTGGGGCATCGTAGTTGAGAAATGACTCGAAGGACATGGTGGGGGTCTCGAAGTCCTCATCGTCCCCCTCTTTGGATGGAGAGTCTTTTGGCGCCCGGGGTCGCCCTGGAAACAGAGATGATATACTGCCTTTAGTTTTTGTGCTTCGAGTATTACAACAAACTCTGCAGAAAGACAGTTTTTAACCCGCTCTCTATGAGTCGATTATCTCCTCTGTTCGTTTGGAGGTTTAAATAAAGGTTGGTGATTTTTTAAACACTGACTACTCAAAGATAAAGTGTCGGATCTTCTCGTGTCCAGCTTTGCAGGAACAGATCGCTCACTGATGTTTGGGAAACTCTTTGCTCTTTCAATTTTGATTTGTCACTTCCTGTGAGTCACTGAAAAAAAACAACTGCATCTTCAGTATCTCGAATCATCGGCACAGGATGTTGCTCACTGTCTGTCAAGAGTAACTTCAGCTGATAAAACTGCACAGCTTATCTTTTCTGATGAACAGAGCTGCACGACTCCTCTGCTTTTTGGCTTCTACGGGGATTAAACTTCACAGAAAAAGCTCATCTGCTGCTCTGGAGCGAGTTCAAAGTGTTCTCAGTTTCAGTTTTGGATGGAGGGCTGACTTTTTTTCACGTTTCTAAATCTAATTATCATCATTTTCATCTGTACAATGGGGGTGAAATACAAAGCATCACTTGTGCATCTTATTCCAATCCTAATCTCTGCAGTTTAGCTCCAGGATGCATTATTAGTGACACACCTGAGTATGTGACAGTGCTGTCAGCAGGCCCAGGTGCACTGTGGGACATTTCTGCACCTCATTTTAACGAGGAAATAAAAAAGATCTGAGTCTGCTCACACGCTGTCTTTTTCATCTCTTTTCAACACTCTGAAACAAACCCACTCACCATCATCTCCACCTTTCTTCTTCTCCTCCTTCTTACTCTCATGCGAGCTCGACTTCTTGTTGTGTTTCGTGGACTTCTGTACTGGACTCTGTTGTCTCTCTCTGTCTGCGCTGCGTTTCTTCCCTTCACCTCCTCCTCCTCCTCCTCCTCCTCGGTCATTACTCATCTGTGCATGCCGTTGCCGCCTCTCCTCGTCTCTGTCCCTGTTTTTGTCGCTGTTGTGACTGTGGTTGTGGTTTTTGCTCGCCTCTTTGCTCGGCTTGGCGTGGCGGACTTCTTTACGAGGAGGGGGAGGAGGAGGACTGGGCTCCGGCTCAGGCTCAGGCTCCGGCTCAGGCTCCGGCTCAGGACTCTCATACTCGTCCGAGTGGTATCCCCCCCTCTGCGGAGGGCTGTATTGCTCGTGTCGAGGAGGTGAGGGTGAGTAGTTTGTGTGATAGCCTCTCTCCTCTTCTTCCTCTTCCTCTTCCATGTAGGAGGGCTCCTCCTCCTCCTCCTCCTCAGGGGACGGCTCCCGGGTTCGTCTGTGGCCTCCTCCTCCGACAGTCTCTTGGCCTCGTGAGTGGCTGTGCGACCGCGGTGCCTCTTTGGGGTGACTGTTGGTGGGTCTGAGGTACAAAGATAGACAGTGAGGATGAGTCACAGAGACACCAGACTGTGTTTGAAGCTACAACAGGAACAGAGAGTGGATCCAGGACTGAACTGAGTCTAAGTCCCTGTTCAGTCCTGGGAACTCAAACTGCAGAACTATCTGTCATGGTTTAATTCAGTGAAACATCAGTGTAAACATCAAAAGTGTGGACTGCTCCACTCATCGTCATTATTGTTGTTTGCATGTCTGAACACATGTATGCTGAGTGTACCTGTCTGCAGACTGAGGAACCAGTTTTTTCCATTTGGCGACCAGGTTTTTCGCCACCTCTCCTGCTACTTCATGTTTCCTAAAAGAATTCACAGTCTTGCCAACTCCAGTTTCCTGCAGCGGGAGAAAACACCGTTAAAATACGGACACTTCCGCTGTCAGACAAGCACCAACAAACTCCTGTGATCGATCACACAGGGCCGAGTCGATTAAATATGTATTTGTTAGGTGTTTAGCTGTTATCATCTTTGCAGTGGTAGGCCGCAATCTGTTTGGTGAGAAACATGTCGAGACTGCTCTGCTAATTGCCATAAATCACATCTGACAAGAAAAAAAGGTAGAGTGTGTCAGACGTTTATGGCGTCCCCGGAAAACTCACAAACCACAATTATCATTTCTTTATTTAACCGTAATAAACAAAAATAATCAGGGATTAATACGCTGTGCTGGGGTCTATTTTTTTTCACTTTTGGTGCATTTTTATTATCTGAAGGGTTAAATCTACAAATACTTACCACGAGAATATCCACAGTCATCGGAAGTTCCCCCAGTCTTTTAAGAGTCTTTAAAAGCTACAAAAAAAGAGAGTAAATGAGAATTTAAGAGGCAATTCTGGTGGTTAAGTAGATGCAATTTTAATTATAAGGTAGAGATTCTCATGTTTCTTTGCAGACTCTTCACAAACTTACACTAAAATCAATCATAACGGTTTAACTTATATAGGGTTAAAAAGCAGGATTGACATGCCATTTATACGGTGGCCGAGAAATGCCACTGCTGCAAATAAACAGAATGCAAAAGGAGAAGTCACAATAGAAGTTACCGATGCAAAAAAAAAAAAAAAAAAAGTGCAGATTAAAAATAAAAAACACAACCGAAGTCAATGACGCAAAAAAAAGTGGTGATGCATAAAAAAAAAGTTACTCACTGCGAAAATAAAAGCATGCAAATAAAAAAAGCCACGACGAAAGTGAGCTGTTGGGGACCAATAATGATGATGCACCAGTGTTTCACGATCTAGCCACAGAAGACGACGGCGAAAAGACGAGCGAAGAAGTGGAAAGTTTTGTTTTAATTTCACTTCGTAAACTTTTCAATGTGTCATGTGGTTAGACCACGTAGCGCCTGAGTCGATATGAAGTTGTACCGAAACTAACACGACACAGACATCCTCCAATTCAACTTCATATCGACTCAGGCGCTTAAATCGTAAAACATCGTAAAAACACCGGTGCATCATCATTACTGGTCCCGGCAGCTCACTTTTATTGTGTCTTCTTTTATATGCATCCTTTTATTTTCGCAGTGAGTAACTTTTTCTTTTTATGCATCGCCACTTTTTTTGTGCATCGTTAACTTCCGTTGTGACCTTTTTTTTGTCTGCGCTGTTCCTTTTCTTATTTGCCGCGGGCTTCGGTTTCTTTTTTTATTTGCATCAGTAACTGTTGTGACCTCTTTTTTTATTTGCAGCAGTGGCGGTTCTCAGCCACCATACATTCATACAATCTTTGTTGTGGATCTGACATTGATTTATGACAAAAATATAAACACATCTCATTGATGACTGTCTGGATTATGGTATTACAGGTTTAGATTTCAACCTCTGTTTGAATACATATAAATTAAATGCGTGCTACTTTTGCACAAAAACATTTTAATACAATTTTACGATACATAAAGAATTTCTACTTGGATTACAGATGTTGGTTTGTGGCTCTATTATAGACCTTCACAATAAACTGGGGGTGTTGGTTTTAAAAAAGGTCCACAAACACCAAAACCTAACAGCTCTGGGTCTGGCCTACTAACCAGGCAGAAACCCTGTAAAATCCTTAATCTACTCAGACTGTTGACTCCAGGACTTTAACATCCACCCCCCTGTTAGCAAAACCAGCTCCACAGAGACCAGGACTGCTTTGTGTTTGTGGGGCACTCACTCACATTTATGCAGGGAGGTAAACAAAGGACGGGTCAGGGATCGTTAATTATGATTTATCCGCTTTATCTTTCGCGTTATGAAGAGATTAGACCCCAGTGCAGTGATGTGCGACAGATTTATCAGCTCAAATCACCAGAACCAGGTCCACATTGGAGGCCTGGACTCTCTGTCTGTCATCACTCTGCGTACTCGGGCTGGTTAGCTTAGAGGCTAATTGCTACTCCAGCCTCGAGTTTGGCCTCAAAATGAATCAGGTGTTGGTTTATTTTTATAGTTATTGTTACAGAGGGTTTACGAGCAGGTGTTAAACCAAGCGGACAGGTGTTGATGTTGTCTCATAGTTGAGGTAAAGTGGTTCGTTGAAACAAGTAGAAAGCCATTAGAAATCGTGACGTCCCACAAGACGCCTTCATGGATTGTCGGAAATTCGTGTGTCGAGTTTGGATTTACTAACAGTAAAGTAAAACGAGTGCAGCTAACCTTTCAAAATGTAATCTTTTGATCCAATCATCCCTCTCTATGAGGTTTCGTACAGATTACAAATAAAGCTCGTGAAGCTGTAGATTATTGTTTTCATCCTTTTTTTTTACAGGAATTCTGGCGTCTTCGATTTAAACTGCAGGCTGTAAATATCATCTCCATAAATGCTGAATTATTGATGGGAAACATGTAGATTCCTTCACTTATAATTCATGTTGATTCAGAAACTTAACTGAGATATTTAAAAGGTCAAACAGTATACCATATATTTTTATACAAATCTTTTACTTGCACCGCTCTTTCTATTTTCAGAATCAGAAATACTTTAATAATCCCCAGACGGAAATTGCTTTTGTCACAGTACTCAAGTGCAAATACAGTAAAAGAAGAGATAAATAATAGATATGATAAGTAAAAATAAGTAAAAAAAAATAGAGATAATATACAGGTATTTACACTATATACAACACAAACAGTAAAATTGTATGCACTAATTCTTTTATCTTTATTTATGTTTTTTTGTACCCAGTATGTCTGACTGTGTATCTATTCACATAAGTATCACGATTTTTTCTTTGACAATTTTTTTTTACCCATTTTTAAATTAAAAAATCGTTTTTTTTTCCCCCCAAAGTTAAGAATAAATCTTAAAAACTGACTCACATGTGATGTGTATTTTTTGGGGAAATATAGTTCCTGGAATAGTCAGCAGACGATCATAATCATTCAACTGTTTCACTGGTGTTAAAAATGCAGACGAGAAATCGAGAAAATCCGCAATATAGTAGAATCGCAACTTAAATTGCATCGGCATACAAAAAATCATAGAAGAATCAAATCAGGAGAAAAGCGTATCGTCCCAGCTCTAGTATCTTGTGTGTACTGCTGCTGTCAATATTTTAAATTTCCCCACTGAGGGAGGAATAAAGGAATATCTAATATAATATAATCAAGGGATGGAAGAATTAACGGAAACTTTCTACAAAGTCTTCTCATTATATGGAGTCAAAGAGCACTCAAGAGCTGCGATTTAAAAAAGACTCATGTTTTATTTAATTTTGAGCATATGTTGTTTTTCTTAGTGGATTAGCTCCAATGTATGGGCCACTGTCGTAAATGTGCGATACAGTTTGTCTTACATACTGTACATCAAAATCTGTCTTTGGTATTTCGTTCATTCATTTTTATTTGTTCCGCTCATGGCCATTTTTAAGCTCTATAACATGTTTAATTTCTTCTTTCCGGCCTACTGACATACCTGACTTGTGCACTTAAATGTCACTGAACACTCTTAATTCTATCGTAACCACACAACTATTTTACTTTTTTTTTCGCCATTCAAAAATGTGACTGTTAGAACATGTCAGATTATCAGATTTACAGAGCGACCCGTGAACGCAGCATTTAAAAAACGGTTGCGACTTCAGGGAACCTGCCGTGGCCGTTGCTTCGTTTAAGGCGCCTGAAACAACCCGTCGCAAATCGGGAGACAGTCGATGTTAAACGTGAACATTGACCGAACCGACCCGTTTAGTTGTTACCTTTCGAGGCTCCGGATTCTCATGGAGCCGGGACTGAAGTCTGTCCACTGTTTCCAGCAGTTCCTCCGCCATGTTTACTGCTGGTACCCTGTCGCCCGGAAGCTACTTCATCCAGACTGCAGGGAGAGAGGAGGGGGAGAGGAAGAGGTTCCGCTCCGGTTTAGGGACGGCTGATGCGAGTCAGGGGCATTTTATTGTTAAACATAATTAATATTGAAACAAAACTTTGCAAACGTGACCAAAAAACAATTTAACTTCAAGTTATTCCTGAATAATAGGAGAAAATTGAAGTTTCTACTGTCACGTTAGACGGAACTACGTCATGTACAGCTGACGGTGCACGTAAGGAACACCTGCCAGTTTGACGTCAGTGAAAACGCTGAATAAGCTTTTGCGATAAATTACCGTGTTAGCTTACAGCGTGGTGTAGCCTGAGAGCAGCTACACTTCTGTGGACCTGGAGTCAGTTTCATTGGCTGAATATAGACTGTGGTATAATGTAAAATAGTTTAAGTGTTGGGCTCTTTATAGAAAGAAAAATCAGTTTTCAACAATTAAGTTGTAATTAGGGTGGCAAAATTCCAGGAATTTTCAAAGTTGGAAACTTTCCATGGGAATTAAGGGGATTAAATCTGAAATTTACAAAACTGAAGTCTGGCCCTAAACAGGGAACTTAAATATAGTTGATGAAAATATATTGGAGCATATTGTCCACTCCTCAATTACACGCACAGATGATTTCTTGAACCTTGGGGGCCACACTTTTGAGTGCCAAGCACAGACTATAGAAAGTCAAGTAAGTTCTGATCATATTATGGGGTAAATATATTTGGTCTATACTAGTATTAGTATTTAACTTGCAAAAACTAAGTAAAAATAGGTGCTAAATGTAAGCTAGTTTTCATTTTCATGTGATGCTGTTTCTTTGGACTCCTGCAAGACAGTTTTCTGTAACCATACAATCATTTTTACATCAATTGTCAAATATTTTGAAGACCATCCCAGTTGTTTAGCCAACTGTATTTGTGTTCATGCCATTGCATTAGTGTTTTTACAAACTTTTTTGTTACTTTATTCTACAGAAAAATGCCACGTTCGCCATCTGACGTGTGGAAGCATTTCACACAAGCTAATGTTGAAGGAAGAATATTTACATTTATGTTTGGATATGATACAGTTTGTTTAAATTACCCCCAATTTCCAGTTAATTCCCATAAATCCCATGGAAAGTTTATAATTTGGAATATTTCCAAAATTCCCAAGCTTAACTTCACATGGAAAGTTTTTGGAATTTTTCCGCCTCTTTGCAACCTTATTTGTAATGTTGCAAGATTACAGTCAGGATGTTACAAAGATAGTCGTTTTTTTTTTTTTTAAAGAGACGAAATGGTAACTTCAGTCAAAAAAGGCAACAACCAATAGCAGACTCCGAGTCAATTACTCGTGTAGCCATTTCTTCCGACTCAGAAGTAACGACGCCCAAGTCTCAGGATTTTTCATTTTATCGTATCGGAATCCTAAACTTTATTATTTATAGACCCACCACATTCCTCATTTTGGTAGCCTACAGGAAGTTGGTTCCTCTTCCTGTAGCCTTTCAAACAGATTATATGTCTCTGTTATGACTTTATTCTCATGATAAAACAACTGTAATCTTATAATAATTCAACTTAAAGGGATATTCCGGTGTAAAATTAATTTAGGGTCAAACACACCATAACACTGAGTTAGACACCCCCTCGAGAGATGAATGTTGCCGACCGCTTGCTTCCCTAGTTATACCAACTTTTGTTACGACCGCAGGATAGCAATACAGAGAGCCACGTGCTCAACCAAAACGCCACTCTAGAGCCACAAATAATGCTCAGAACAGCACCTAACTTCATCAACAGTACATAGAGGGTCCCAGCCATAGTACTAGACACCAAACATCTTTTTAACATTGACTAATTTCTTTAACAGACTAAACACAACTCACCTACTCTCTTCCAGCAGCCGCTTGTTTGTAGTGAGACCTCAGGCCTCAGAGATGTTTTTTCCCCCTAATACATCTTATCCACGTTATTTTCAGTGCTTTCTTTTGACGTGGTCTTATATGAATATTTCAAGTGTTTGATTGTCAGTAAATGTTTCAGGTCAGATTTCAGTGTGTGTAAGTGCAAGTGAGTTTTAAAATCAACAATGAGGAGAAGAACGAAAAAAACAGATATACTGGACCACAACCAAAGTCCTAAACCTGACACCCAAAGGTCATCAAGGGGAGGAGGGTAGGGGGTGGTGATGGTGGTGGATTTTGGAGGGGGATGTTCATGCCCGCCTCTTTTGGGATATTTTGGGAGGGGAGGGCGACCAGGGCTGCCTGTATTTGGAAATGGAGGTGGATTTTGGAGGTGGAAAGAAGAGGACCTGGTATGATCTCAGGGAGGAGTGGTTGAATTTCATCGCCCTCCTCAGGGGGTGGATTGAATCCTACGTCACGGCGTCTTCTGGGTCCCTGATACCCCTCTGATACTGACACACACTTCACACACACACACAGCACTCTGGCTGACTGACAGAGGGACACAGCAAAGAGGAAACTGTTAGAGAACAACAAAGACAAACGAAAGGCGGTAAAAGAAAGCCTTAAGAGAGACGAAAAGAGAGAAAAAGGACGGACGGAGAGCAAGAACAAGGAGGGGTCGAAGGTAAAACCATCTTATTTTACTGCATTTCAGCTTGTTGAGAGGATAGATGCCCAAAACTGTATTCGCTTTTAATAACACAAAAGGGAAATACTGCAAATATTCAGGCCTGTTAAGCACTGGCGATGGTGCAAAAGAAAAATAATCACATTGAAAGTGCATCACAGTGAATCAATACAACTTCAGAGGTGTATCAGAGAAACTATTCAAATATTTTATCCATGAATAGCAACAAAACATAGCAACACTCTCTGAAAAAGTTCTGCACTCCCCCTTTAGTGATGTAAAAGCTCATATATCTGGACGTCTGTATGAAAACATACAAGTAAAGGTGCTCGATAAAAGTAAAATGTGTTAAAGTTGCTTTAAAATCATCACGTGTGCATCAGTTAAAGTACGTTTGTTACACAGCCTAATATGAGTTTTACTCACCTGGTATTAAAATGTGACCGAATATGTATTTATTGTTCATCATATCATGCTTGTATCATTCAAATATAGTATTCATCTTTAATATAAACCTGCAAAATAGCTTTACATTAGGGTTAACATATACTGGCAGTTGAGTTAGAAGTTGCGGTTTATTAGCAAATGATAACAGAATTTAAGATTTTAATGAGCCGTTTATGTAACGCTGCAGATTTCAGATTACAGTGGCAGATTAAGACGTGGACAGTGTAAAAATAACCACCAATCCCACCTGTAACAGTCTAATATTTCACTGTATACTTTCCATCAGATAGAATATCACACCTAACATTTTTATTCTTAAGTTACTTTTTGCTGATGATATTGTGTTCTCATAAAGTAAACTCTAAAATGCTCATTTACTGATGCTGTCATGATAAAAAAACAATCTGTCACTTATGGAAACGATGTGAAGTAGTTGTTGCTTCACTTCAGGGGGTATCAGTCCTCTACTTTCCAGTCCTTTGCTGTAAAACACACACGTTAAGTACACACACACACACACACACACACACACACACACACACACGCATGTTGTGTTGGTCAGCACCTATAAATACCCTCATGAGACAGACAGAGGAATGTAGCTACAGCTGCAGAGAGATCGAGTTGATGTTGAGGCATCCGGGACAGTTTTTGTCTTTGTGTGTGTAAAATAACACAAAACATGACAACACAAAAGCAAAAAGCTGCTGATATGACCACTAACGTAAAACTCTAACGAATGTGATTTTTTATGTTGGTTATTTTGAAGGTCCATTCATCCAAAACTAAAGATGAAAACCCACGAATCAATCTAGTGCCAGTTTTTAGCATCTTTTTAGCTGTTTGGCTTCGAAGCGACTTCACTCCTTGTGGTTCACGCTCACCTCTCTCATCGCGATGTTTTCGTCCCCAAGAGGAGACAGTTTATGACAAGCTGATGATCTCACTCAAGGAGTTGGTGGAGACCAAAATTAGAGCTACAAGAAAGTGAACATGACTCATAAATAGTTTCCACTGCATTGTGTATCTCGGTCTCCATCACTTGCTCGGAGCTGTAATTTTCCTACTTTAATAGGCAACGAATAAGAACTTAAAAAGGAAGAGGTACAGTTTTGTTTTCGCTTCGGTCAGAACTGCAACCTTGACCGACCTGAGCTGGAATTACAACAACGCAGACAAACACTTGGTTAGGCACATGGAGCGTATATCAGAAAGAACAGTGTCTGTTCACATTGTGAGGCATAAAGCCAAAACGCCGCCTCAGTGGGCACTGACATGTTGTACTGGTGCAGTCCAGGCACGTGTAGAAGTGGAGAAGCAGGACTGGTATCACACCCCTTTCGCAAATCCACAGATAAAACATCAAACATCCTTCAGGTTGGTACAGTCTGAAACAAACAAGTTCCTGTGGTGAGCTCAAACACACTCGTGGCTGCGGATGGCTCTGGTTCGGTGGTTCTGTTGTTGGTGTTGGTTATGTTTTCTTTAAACATCCTCGACTCAGCTGATCTGCAGAAACCCGAATTTTTAACAGAGCCGTCAATTATTTTCTAAACATCAAGACAGTCAGGGAGATGAGAACAACATTGATGACAGAAAGCATTTTAGAGAAAAAGTCATGGACTTGTATTTGATTGTACCGTTTGACCTCTATCTATCTGTTACAATGGGGGAAACTTGCTGTATGACCTGTAGTGCCTATAACCACCAGGGGGAGCTCTACACATTCTGGCTTTGCTCGGCTTCAGCTGATGTGCTGTCTATGTTTATACCATGTAGGGGTCGGATAGCTGAATAAACCAGGATTTTTTTAAGAAATGGCAACCGGAAAACTTTGGTGTCAAACACAGAAAAACAGCACTGATTGTGTTTGAAGCGTCAGTTATAGTTTAATATTTGTTAACGATAAGTTCAAAATCTAACCTTGACTGAAGAGACACTCTTTGCAGTGGATATTGACATGTTAATAAAGTCCATCGGTAACTACGCACAGGCCGACGCGTGTAACTCGACTGTGTTGCTGTCCATTTTCTATTTCTTTTCGCATACTTCGTCACATATATAAACCGAATAATTAAAAGACTGAGAATAATGTAATAGGTAACAAAGTTTTTGACATGAAAATGTGAGAGTAACATTTGAAAAAGCGTATGATGTATAATATGAGATCGCATTAAGTGACAAATGTCTGTATGCTTAAATACGGAGGAAGGAAAGTAGGAAAAGACGTAAAACTAAAGGAAATAAATCAGAATGAAATTAAAGATAAAACTCAGACAACTAAAAACTTTAGACAGATTGAAAATCTATCAATCAAAACCTCCTTCCTGTATTTGACCGTCATGATCAGCATCTGAAAACCACACAAACAGGAAGTTGAACTTGTAGTCATGTGGATTTTCAATACTGTTTGTTGCTGATATTAGGAAGGTGTAAAAGGATCCTAAAATACTTCTAACCTCGTGTTTAACCACCTCCCCCTCAGGTTACCCAGAAGTCTGTGGTGCTGCTGTTGTGAAATACGATGCTGTTGTTATTTACAGTGTATTTGTCTGTGGTGATGATGATGATGATGGTGGCGGTGGGGTTTGGATTGAGGGGTTAGGTCTGGATCTCCTGATGACAGAGCAGCTGCTCTCTGCTCTGACCTTGGTCCCAGATATTTCTGTAGGCTGATCTCTGCTCAGCAAAGATTATTTCCATACCAAAGAATCCCCTAACAAGAGAAACGCTTCAGAGACATGTCTGCAGGAACCTGATTCTACATTAGGTGTTATTTAAAGTTCCTTTACTCGAGTAAACTCTCACAGTAAATGTAACACAACATAAAACTTTAGAGAACAGGAATAGTTCACGATAAGCAGCTCAAAACCTTTGTCGTCAAAATCCGATGTCGTATCACACAAAGTGGACATACAACAACGCAGATGTCCTGAGATAACAAGTTCATTTCTGTTGTTTTCTCTTAACTTGTCCAGTCAAATGAGAATCTATTTTGATATAATTTTCTGCAGAATCACAATTTCAGTCCAAAGTCAAGATTTAAAGAACCAATGAACAAAATGCACTTCATTTAAAAGTTAAAAACTATAGTTAGCCTCTTACAACTCAGCCTTAACAGTTCGGTTAAACACGAGTTCTGCTTCTACCAAAATAAAAAGACTTTAATAGTCTGATACTGAGAATAAGCTCTTTCCTGTTTGATAAACTTTTACTTGTGGGAGTTTTTTTTAGTGTTGGTACGTTGGCATAAATAAAGATTAACGAGCACATCTAATAATTTAGTAAACTCTGAAAATACCCCAGAGTTATTGGACAGAAATACAGTTGATGTTTATTAGAAAAACTGAAAATACTTTAATAAAACCCTCTCTATGAGCCTGTTAGCTCGGTAAAAACAAAGACGTTATTTCACGTTTCTTCTTGTTGATTTCACATTAAACGTGTTTTTATCCTCATCATCATCCTGCCAGTTGCTCCTGTCACTGACTTTATCACCTCCACACGTGTTTTAATGCCTCCGTGCTTCAATCAGAGTCACGTTTGCAGAAATTCTGCTCCTGTCACGTTAAACAATCCACCTGACTAAAACTCATGCTGTTATTTCCTTTGGCCGGTCATCCAGGATTACTGATCACCCCTCCATTTAATTAAATTAAATTTAATTTAATTGTATTGAGGTTATGAAGTGTCCTTGCTGTGATCTGTTGCACTTTCAACTCTTTTAAGGGTGATAGCACCATCCTAAAAAGCCTGTATGATCTGTAACTGTGAGCCCCTCCTCCTCATATGACACCGGCGACAGCTGCTGCTCCGTCCTGTGTGATCCCGGCTCCTCGTCCCCGCTCTGTCCATGTGAGGAGGCCGCTGCTGCTATTTAAAACGAGCCAAGTTCAGGCTCAGAGTAAAAGGGGGGTGGTTCATGGACATATTTGGGGTCATGACGTTAGTTTATGTTCCTACAATGATAAAAATTATGAGCTCTGCTGATATTCATTCAGGTTTCAGAGAAATGAGTCACAGCAGCGATGACGATGGTGTCCGCATTATTGGTACAGACTGTATCGTTTAAAATAGCCACCAGGTGAGTTATGAAGAGGTCACAGACAGGTGTAATCAGACCTATAGAGACACCAGATAACTGGGTCAGACATTTACCTTCTGATGCCAGCGCTTAGTAAGAACATCTAATGCTGTAACATTATATGTATGCCACAAGTTACATGTTACATAGCATAACCCCCCCAGCGTACTGTTCCACTCTGAAACTGAACCTGAAGGTGTTTCCAGGCAAGTCAAAATGTCCCACTTTAGCCTTCAAAAAAAATCAACAGAAAATCAACAGAATCTGCAGCTTTAGTAGCATGAAGGCTTTTTCTGAGCTCAAAGATAGCTTAGCATTTAAGTGTCCTAACAGTATGAAAACCTGAATGAAATGAAAGTCTGTACAAAGTTTGTAAATTACTCCTCCTTTTCCATTTTTTTTCCTTTTGGGATAGATCAAGGCTGACTTTATGGCCCATACTGCAACCAGTCACCAGAGGGAGCTCTTTTTACTTTGGATTCACAACCGAGAAGCTTCTGTGTCGCTTATTTTACAATCTATAAATAAAGAACATAAAAGATGAATGTTTTTCTCCCTATGAAGTCAGTGTTTTTATCTACTGAAAGAGACTACAAAAGAGAGAGGGGGAAGAAAACTACAAAAATCAACATTAAAGGGCCTCATATCTCACCTTCGGATAATCCCGGGCTCAAAAATGTGGTCCCTACTCTCGCTGTTACAGCCTTTCCTCGATCCAAACATTAATAAGATTCTCAGTTGCTTTGCGGGTAAAATACACAGCATGAGTAATGAGACGTTGAATGTCCAGGGGGGTGGCTGTAAACCACAAACTCAACCCTGAGCTGCATTTCTGGACCGCCTCACAAAACAGACACTCGCAGCTGTCATTCATCGATTTAGAAGAAGTGTAAACCCTTTGTCTGTTTGTCTTTGTCCAGTGTTTCAGTTACCAAGTTGTAAAAAAAGCAAAATTGGAGGCGGAAACAAGATGGCTACATCTACGAAAGTTATTTAAGCACTTGCCTTGTATTCATACTTTTCTTACTTTGAAAATAAGACGTTGACCTGGACTGAATGGTAACTCAAATTTTTTTTTTTTTTTTTTTTTACAATTTAAGTTTTTATTATGACGGAGTATTAGGGCCACATAAGGAAGAAAAAAAAATATTCTTCGAGATTAAAGTCATTAACAACAAGAATAAAGTCAAAGGAAAATCATTACTTACGAGAACAAAGTCGTAGTAAATTCATTACTTATGAGAATAAATTATTAAAAACAACTAACAACAGGTTAGAATAGCTATTAGCTGCGACTTTACTCTTATAAGTGATGATTTTGTTGGGACTTTATTCTTGTAAGTAATGATTTTAGTACGACTTTATTCTTGCAATTACTTTATGACTTTATTCCCGTAAGTAATGATTTTATTAAGACTTTATTCTCGCAAGTATTTACTTTATTACAACTTTATTCTCGTAAGTAATGACTTTATCATGACTTCATTCTTGTAAGTAATTCTGAAGTCTTACATTTTTTGTTTTTTGATGTGGTCTTAATACTCTGTCATATTTTATAAACTTGAAAGTTGCTTAATAAAAACTACAGTCGTTTTAACACCCAGGTTTCTTGTCTGTTTTTTGTTCCAGGTGCTGTGTGCTGTGTTAGAGTGAAACCATCAACGAAATCCCTGAACCAGTCTGTCCATTGTGCCGTTAAGTTGGTCGATACAAAGCTACAACATCGAGCTAAAAGCAGAAAAGTTCTGCTAGTTTGTATTAATTTAAGTCAGCACTTACTTTAATATCAAGACCTCATCTCAGTGAACCGAACAAAGAGAGAGAAACCTAAGTTTTAAAACTACGAAAACCAACCCCAACGGTCAACAAGATGGCGCCCAAGAAGAAGGCCCCCCGTCAGAAGAAACCTGCTGTGGAGACAACCCCTGAGGTCGTCCCGGTCCCGCTGACGGTGGAGAGCCGCGGTGACGGTGTGGTGGTGGTGGACACCGGGGTGAAGAAGATCGAGCAGATCGCAGCGCTGGACATCGCCAAGCTGAACAGCCTCAACCTGCCGCTGCCGCCCCCCGTCATCAAGCCGGGAGAGAGAGGCCTCGGGCTGGGCAGCGAGCTGACGCGACCCCTGCATGGAAACGCCCTGCTGGAGGAGCTGAGCAAGATGCGACAGGAGAAGTACGTGAAGATGCTAATATTTATATAATCGTCAAAGTTATTGGTAACACTCGACGATAACCATAATTAATAAATGGTAAATAGTTAGTTTCTTAATGTTTAATCATAATTTAAAAACAGCATATAGACCAATTATAAATGGCAAATAATGTGCAGATTAAACAACTGAATGATATGAAAGAAAATATGAGCTAATATAGAGTTAATAATACAGTGCTTAGTCGGGAACGTCTGCACAACATTGCACATCTCTATGCATGATTCACTATGAAATCCACATGGTTTTGTACTTTTTGGTCTTTATTCTATGACTGTTGTCTTGGATTATAAATCTGCTGTTTTGTATGTCATTAATTCATCCTCCTCCCAAAGGTTCCTGACTGATCTGGAGTTGGCCTGTAAGACAAAAGCCTTTGACGTCCACAAGCTGGTCATTTCGTCTGTCAGTCAGTACTTCAGGGAGATTCTGGCCAAAGACCCCGGCATGAAGCGTCTGGAGCTCCCCTCACTCTCACCTCTGGGTACGCTTGTGTTTCTGTACTTCCGTCTGTAATAATATGGATTTTGGTCCCACTGTTCTGCTTTTGATTTAACTGATGAATCAATCCCCCTAAAGAGCAGGATGTTGAGAACAATGTGGATAAAAAAGAAAAGTCCTGTTTCATATGACATACCTGTAAAAAACTCCAGTTACACTATTTTCTCACTCCATGTGTCCTCAGGCCTGGCTAATGTCATCACCTTCGCCTATCTGGGTCGTGTCCATATGTCGCTTTACACCATCGGCTGCACCGCCTCTGCTGCTGCCACCCTGCAGATCCCTCAGCTGCTCAAGATGTGCATGGACTTCCTGCTGGCCGAGCTCAACGTCCAGACCTGCGTCTACATCTGGAACATCGCTTCCGCCTACGGCCTGCTGCCCGTGTGCGACGCGGCCCGCCGCTTCGTCCTGGAGAACTTTGTGCAGTTCGCTGATACGCCGCTCTTCACCCAGCTGACCCTGGAGCAGATCTCTGCCTTCCTGCAGGACGACTCTCTGCTGCTGCCGTCAGAGGTCACGGCCTTCCAGGTCAGACGTCACTCTTTGTCTTCAGAAGGTCAAAGGTTCAAATTTGGAAGAGAAAAACAAGGTCGAAACACGATCCAAGTCGAGCAGTTTTTATTTATCTAAACATTCTAACAAAGATAAATCAGCTGCTCATGAATCTGATGGTACGAGGGTTCAGTCTTATTGATTCAAAAGTTAGTTTCCAACATCTTTGCAGTTAAACTGAGGAGATATTTCATGTCTTCGGGGGCGGCTCTCAGCTTTAACTCCTCGACCCTCTTGACATTCCTGCTATTTTCATCGAGTCCTGAAAACAGACCCCAGACCAGCTGTTAAGAGCAGCACACAGATCCATGAATCAAAGCGAGTCACCTGCAGGTGGACTGTTAGCAGAATCCACTAAATATAACTCACTGTATGCAAGAGCACTGCTTATTTATTAATACACAACTGCATGTATGACAGATTTAAATGGACAGGCAGCTGAGGGGAGGCAGGGCGATGAGAGTTGTATTTATAAACTAAACTAATGTTGGTCTGTGAATGCAGAATCATTTTATCTGTGGTTTATTTCATACTGTAGTCTTAAAGTGAAGGACTGATCCTCAAAGTGAGTTTGTTCAATATGACCTTGCTGTGGGGTTTGCCAATAAACATCCCCACTCGAAAGGTAAAAATTACAATATAATTGACCTGACTCTATTTGAAGTACTTAAATTTAACTTGACTGATCCTAATCAAACAACTTTATACAACCACAATTCACAGAAAGTTTGGAGACTGTTTCAAATGTTAATAAAGACAGAATTAGATGGTTCACAAATTGTGGATTGGAGGATTTCCCGTCTTCCTCTTTGAACCAACATTTATTTTAAACTGTATTCAGTTTATTTTTTGCATTTTAATGTCTTTAAAGGGATATTCTGGCGTAAAATTAATTTAGGGTCGAACACCGCAACACTGAGTTAGACAACCCCGTCAAGAGATGAATGTTGCCGACCGCTTGCTCCTCTAGTTAAACCAACTTTAATAACGACCGCAGGATAGCAATACAGAGAGCCATGCGCTTAACCAAAACACCACTCTATAGCCACGAATAATGCTCAGAACAGCACCTAACTTCATCAACAGGACATACAGGGTCACAGACATAGTACTAGACACCAAACATCTTTTTAACTTTGACTAATTTCTTTAGCAAAGAGACTAAACACAACTCACCTACTCTCTTCCAGCAGCTGCTTGTTTGTAGCGAGATCTCAGGCCAGTCCATTACAGATTACAGCGGGGTGCCGCAGCTCAAGGAAGAACATTTATGATCATTTCTTCATGGAAATACAATCAGACCGAGACGTTAAGGCAGAAGAACTACCGCGTCTGCAGAGAAAATGATTAAAATGATGATTATTACTTCAAGGAAATGATAAAGAAATGATCATAAATGTTCTTCCTTGAGCTGCGGCACCCCGCTGTAGTCCGTAATGGACTGGTCTGAGGTCTCTCTACAAACAAGTGGCTGCTGGAAGAGAGTAGGTGAGTTGTGTTTAGTCTCTTTGCTAAAGAAATTAGTCAAAGTTAAAAAGATGTTTGGTGTCTAGTACTATGTCTGTGACCCTATATGTCCTGTTGATGAAGTTAGGTGCTGTTCTGAGCATTATTTGTGGCTATAGAGTGGCGTTATTGTTGAGGTCTGTTGGAGAAGCAAGCGGTCGGAAACATTCATCTCTCGAGGGGGTGTTTAATTCGGTGTTACGGTGTGTTTGACCCTAACTTAATTTTCCGCTGGAATATCCCCGTAAGATAGTCTCAATAATACACACAAAGCTGTGTAAAGTAAACTCTCATCATTTTCTTCCACATCGGAGCGCCGGTGTTTCTCTCGTTGAATTTCATCCTCCATCTCTCTCTGTAGCTGGCCATGAAGTGGCTCGACTTCGACACCACCCGTCAGGCTCACGCCGCAGAGCTTCTCTCTCACATCCGCTTTGAGACGATCCCCGCCAGTGAGCTGGTGAGTCAGATCCAGCCTGTGCCTCGAATGATGATGGACCCTCAGTGCCACCGCCTGCTGGTGGACGCCATGAACTACCACCTGCTGCCTCACCAGCAGAACACCCTGCAGTCCAGACGCACGCAGGTCCGAGCCGGTCAGCAGACTCTGCTCACCATCGGCGGTCGACCTTCGCTCACTGAGAGAGCTCTCAGCAGGGAGGTCAGTCTACAAACCAACGTGTTCCTGTCTTTTCTTTGTGTTAAAAAAACACCAGATCATCCCTCACTGACCTCAAACTTTGTGGTCCAGGTGCTGTGGAGGGATCCTCGTGAAGGTGGAGCCACCTGGCGTCACCTCACCCAGCTGCCAGCAAAGAGCTTCAACCAGTGTGTGGCTGTGATGGACGGATTCCTGTATGTGGCCGGAGGAGAGGACCAGAACGACGCCCGCAACCAGGCCAAGCACGCAGTCAGCACCCTCAGCAGGTAGTAACCCAGAGCGGGGGGCGACTCTAAACCTGATCAGACTTCTTTGGAGGTCAAATACAGAAATCCAAACAAAATTCTTGTAAATCCCAAAGTGTCTAAATCAAGTGGTGCAAGTAAAACTTTGCAGGTTAAAAACTGACCAAACAGAGTGAAGAATGAAACAACTCCTTAAAGGGATATTCCGGCGTAAAATTAATTCAGGGTCAAACACACCGTAACACCGAGTCAGACACCCCCTCGAGAGATGAGTGTTGCCCAGTCTCAGCCATAGTACTAGCCACCAAACATCTTCTCAACTTTGACTGATTTCTTTAGCAAAGAGACTAAACACAACTCACCTACTCTCTTCCAGCAGCCACTTGTTTGTAGCGAGACCTCAGGCCAGTCCATCACCAACTATAGCGGGGTTTCGCAGCTCAAAGAAGAACATTTATGATAATTTCTATCTGCTTTACTCTTCTCCTTCACTAGATACGACCCTCGCTTCAACACCTGGCTCCACCTGGCCAGCATGCGTCAGCGCCGCACCCACTTCTCTCTGGCAGCCAGCGGCGGCCGCCTCTTCGCCATCGGAGGCCGTAACGTGGAGGGTCTGCTGGCCACCACTGAGAGCTACCTGCCCTCCTCTAACACCTGGCAGATGCGTACTCCCATGGAGATGCCGCGCTGCTGCCACTCCAGCGCCACCCTGCCTTCTGGAGACATCCTGGTGACCGGAGGTTACATCAACTGTGCTTACTCCCGCTCTGTGTCGTGCTACAAGGTGGAGAGCGACACCTGGAGCGAGTGCGCCTCCATGGAGACACCCCGCGGCTGGCACTGCTCCACCACCCTCGGAGGAAAGGTCTACGTGGTGGGAGGAAGTCAGCTTGGGCCTGGTGGTGAGAGGGTGGATGTCGTCTCAGTGGAAGTCTTCTCCCCGGAAAGTGGCACATGGAGCCGGGCGGCCCCTCTGCCCCTGGGCGTGAGCACCGCCGGTTTGTCCCCGCTCAATGAGAAGCTGTACCTGCTCGGCGGCTGGAACGAGGCGGAGAAGCGCTACAAGGCAGCCGTGCAGAGGTACGACCCGACTACCGACAGCTGGTCCATGGCTGAGGATCTCCCCGAGCCCACGGTGGGAGTATCCTGCTGCACCCTGACCTTGCCGCCTCGCCCTGCACCGCGTCGGCAGCAGCACCGCAACACCCCAGCCCACGAAGAGCAGCAGCTGAAGAACCGGAGCAGAGAGAGCAGCGTGACTCCTTCACAGACCATCACAGCATAGAGAGACAGAGAGGAGGGAGGGTTTAACCTCTGGAGAACATGTGGATCATGTCTGCTCCTTTGTGTAGGCGCGGAAAAGTTCGCCTACTTTACCCAAAATTTACCAAAAAAATAAAAAAACAAAAAGAGAAAAGAGGAACTTCTTCTAAGCATTATTGAACACCTGAAATTTCCAACAACAATAAGAGAGAAGAATTGAATTGTAATTGTTAGTGGTAAATCTATGGTGTATTTGCTATAGACTTTTTTATGAGACTTTTATACCTGAATGTTCCCGGAAGTGATTTAAAGGAGCCCCAAATGATTCATTTCGGGCTAGTCAAAAAAAACAAGAGAGCTAATGTGGTCCAAAGTGATCTCAGGAGGTTTTAAATTGTGGCTAAAATGTGAATAAAGGGCTTGACTGTAGAGTGGAGCAGGTGGAGGTGATGGAGGGAGGAGGAGGACAGATCTGTGATGGAGCGGGTTTGGGTCGAACAAAAACGTCACTGTGAAACCGCTGACAGTTTGTGTACAAAGATGTAACTACACACAGTGTGTGACAATAAACTGAAACCAAGAGTGAATCTGACTGTGAGAGTGTGTGTGAGTGTGTGTGAGTGTGTGTGTGAGGAGTGTGTGTGCGAGAAAACGAGACAATTCCCTCAAAAACTGCAGTTATCGATAATTCTTCACCAGCCAGTATTTCTCACCAGGATAAAAACCAGCCGGCAGTAAACCAACGAGTTTATTGTTTTTATTTATTTAATGAATGTCAAGAGTAGTTTAGATTAAAAATATAAATAAATAAAAAAAGTGTAGCTTTAGTACTTGAAAAAATAACTATTTTTTAAATGCGGTTATGAAGTCATGAGGAGGGAAATGTTATTTCAACACAGCACAGATGAGACGAATGAAAAAAAAACAAACGTAAAATTTTAAAAATGTCCAAGAGGCTCTCCTCTGCAGAAAACATGAAAGTTTGAGGAAAAATATTATGAAAAGTTGATAAAAAAACATTAAAAATAAAAAAAGAATAAGAAAAATACACGTGTAACGAACAAAATCCCCAAAACTAAAGAGAAAAATTCAGCTCATCCGTGTTTGTGTTTCTACATTTTCCTCCTCTGACGTCTAATTTTTACTGAAACGAAGACAAACGACCATCTGAAGAGCCAGTGAGACTCCAGCAGGTGGACAGACCGACTGCTGTCAGCTGATGAGCGCGTGGAGAGTCAATAATCAATGTTGAGATCGATGAGGATAATCAGGCTCCTTTGATTGGTTGAATCCCCTCTGAATTTATTTCCTGCTCTGTGTTTATGTGGGGTTTCACTGAATAAAAGCCAATTTAATCAAATCAACCCGAGTTTTGTTGTCGTTTTCTTCTTTTCGGGACAAGTGCTGCTGGGAAATGTAGTCATAACAGCGCAGGCTTTAGTGTAGGCGCAGCATATGACTGAAATCCAATATTTTAGGGTAATAAAAACATCAATAATCAAACTAACCATGTGGTAAATCAGCTCACAAGCAAAAGAGATGAAATTAAATTTTTTAGACTACTTTGACGAGAATATCCCTTTTTCAGAGTATGAATATTACCTGAAGCTAAAATACTGATTTGTGCTGAACTAAAGTTTTACAGGAATGATGGAGTCAGGATGTTTAAGAGGATGAAGCAGACAATAATGTCGTTTTAGTCTAAGGTACAAAAAGACGGGAGCATATCACATTAAATTCCAGGGGGAAATTTGCGGTTTTCTTTAGAATTCACAAGATAAATGTCATCAAAATAAAAGAAATGAAATTTTTATTCACATAAAAATTATATTGTGGGTCTGAGATAAGTAGGCAATAAATAAGATAAATAAATAAATCAGAAAAATAAATTGGCAAACCAGAAAAAAGCAAAACTTCTATAATCCATATTTTGTCATAGGTTTGAGGTTTTTTTTTAAACAGATGCAAAACCAAAAAATAAAAAATATTCAAAAATTAAAATGGAGTTTAACTCAAAATAATTTTAATAAGTGGTGGTAAAAACGACACAGTATGTTACACACAAATGCTGCATTTTGCTAACTAAACGAAAATAAAACCAGATTTCATAAAGTGAGACGGTTCATTCACCATTTTGGCAACAAACCATTGACTGTATATATGTATGTATGTGTGTGCGTATATATATATATATATATATATATATATATATATATATATATATATATATACATATATGTTTATACATACATATATGTACACACAGTCTATATATACAGTCTAAGTAACTACGATGCACCAGTACCGCCCACCTGTGGGTTAAACTTGTACTACAAGCATCAAGTTCATAAACGTCACACACTTGTAGTAGTCGCCTGCTGGATTCACACTCTGTCTACACCTCGTTTTTTGAGGTTGCCAGTTTAAGTTTCACCGAGTATAAAGACAACACTTGGAGCTTTAGAAGTCTTTCATTTCCTTGAGAACTTCACTGAACCTTTGATAACCGAGCACACTCAGATAAATGCAGCCCCCTCCAATTCTGTTCTGATTTCTGATCTGAACGGATGAGGCACAGCTTTATAGGACTACTCACAAAATCTCTGGTGGACCGCAGTAACAACAAGAGACAAGTGTTGATTTTTTTCAGGTTTTATTTGTTTGTTACAAACAGGATCAATTGGAGGTCCTTTACTTTCCGGGGAGGATGATACCGTCATACTAGAAAGAGAAGGAAACGAATATTAAAAGAGAGTAATCAACTGTTTCAGGAGAGGAAAGTATGAAACAGGTAAAGCAGCGATACAACTTCCAGATGTCCCCAGAAATGTGCGAATCTTTGAATACTCACTTTCTGCTGGAACCAGCGCATGGCCTCCTCTTTGCGGATGCGGTGCCTGAAACCGATGCGGCCTGTTTTCCGCTTCTTGTCGGCGATGCTGAAGCCGGGTCTGCCCAGAACCTGAGCGACAAAGTTTGGACAGAGGTCAGTAAAGCTCAAGACGTGAATACAAAGAATCAAGTCCACCAATTATTAAATTATGCAAATAAACACGGACAACTATCCCCAATCATGTGCATCAAGTTGCCTACATATATATTTACTGATTAAAAACAGAAACGCCCCAAAAACATCAACTCGTTAAGGTTTTTTGCCACTCACCACGTAGAAGTCGAGTCCGTAGATGCCGATGCTGGGGTCGTACTTGATACCCAGATCGATGTGCTCCTGGATACCGAAGCCGAAGTTTCCGGTATCAGAGAAGTTGTTCTTTCTCAGCTCGTACTCACGCACCTGAAGACGGGAGCAGCAGAGGGAAGCTCATTTAGTAAAAAACCAAGAACTTCATATCTTCGTAGGACCATTTCCTTGTTTTTTTTCATGAAGCTTCTAACCTGACCTCTGTGTGAACCAAAGGAATCTTTCCATTTATGTTGAAAGACTGTTGGACCAAATTAAACAATCCCTCTCTTTTTGCTCTAAACCAGATAAGTGAGGAGGACTGGATTGTGACGTCGTTACCTTGAGTCCTTTCTCCAGGATCTCCTCTGCTTTGGCTCCACGGACGGTGCAGTGGACAGCAATCTTTTCATTTCTGCGGATACCGAATGATCGCACAGTGTAGCGGGCTGAAAGAAGAAGAAGAGAGGACACCGTCAACATTTATTTTAAGTTCCAATAAGATACAGAATCGAGCGTGTCTTCATTTACAGCTGTAACTCTTATTGGTCAATACACCATAACAACAATGAGAGGAAAACTCATTTACACTGACAGTTCAAGACAGGAGATTTCCCGGAAACATCTCTCCTCTTTGTTAGTGTCACTATCAGCCTTTACTCCCTCTCATTCAGTATCAACATAAATAACATTGATACTGAATGAGAGTCGCTCATCCCCGGCGTTGAGACAGGAATATCACCTGAGGGGAAAACCACACAGCCAGTGTGACAAACTCGAGCTTTCTTTTGATATGACGGCTCCACAGATCCAAAAGCTCCAGTCTGAGATAACCGGTGCCATGAAGCTGCTTCTGAGCTCTCATGATGACAGATCATCAAAACTGTAACACTACATTTTTAAACTGCTGCTCCGATCAGGGACAGAAATCACCATGTTGGTTTATAAATGAACAACAACAACAACAAATGTTGGCAGGAAATCCGGCAGCGATGGGTGGACTTCAGACTGAACACAAAAACGTCATGTGATGGAGTTTATCATGTGCTCGGTCGTGTCCCTGACTGTTCTTTCACTGTATGAATGAGCTGTGATACAAAACTAAGAAAGTAAGAGGGAAACTAGTGAAGCTGAAATATATTAATGAAAAAGAGAATTACACAAAGGCCAAAAAAGAATTTATACAGACGGGCAGGTGATTCGCTGCTAACAGTCAGTCCGTTTACATCACACTCGAGAAAACCGAATTATCGCCCTACTCCGATTCAGACTGGACAACTGAAGTGCATGTGAACACCTTCAACCAACTATAATCCAAGTTGGAAAACTACGATTAAGACACCCAGATAATGTGATTGGAATTTGATTTTCTCTATATGTAACCAGCGTAGTCGGAGTATGATTGGACAATGCATGTGTATGTGCGCCGGAACAAAAACACCAGAGAAGAAGTGGCGCTATCATTTTAGAACTTTCGACCCGGAAGCAACAGCAACATGGCTGAAACACGAAAGAACGTCCATGTTTGGAAACCACGAGGAAAAGTGCCGTTATGCTTACCCTCCTAAAAGAAATGGACATGTTAAAGTATATGAACGGTCAAAGAACGAGGAATAGAGACATCTTCAAAAAAGGTCAGGAAACAGCGCCGCTGAAAAGACCGATATCACCCCCTAGTTTTAGGGAGGAGGACACGTTCACGTCAATAATTCGATTTTCTCAGCTAGAAGTCCGATTGGGCGGAAAAAAAAAAACGAGTTATGAACTTGGTCCACATTAAGCTGTGCATGTAAACGCACTGAGGCCACTTTTAGACAGAAACGGTCTCCATAGAAACAGAAAAATTTAGTTTCATTTAGGGGGGTCCGTTAAGACGGCAACTGCGTTTTCAGGAGATGAAAACGTAACAAAGTGAAAACCCCCTCCAGAGTGGAAATGTTGTAAACGCTCTGCTAGACCCGCTATTATCTGAAGTACAAAAACGCTGAAAACAGTCAAACCTGTGACATCCTGGCTCACGCTTACATTATCATAGCCATGCACAGCTTCATTGAAAATAACAACAACAACCACCATGCTACACATTCGAGTCGCACTGTCGTTATTATTTAAGTTATGGAAGTTGTTCTTCATATGCGTTGTTGGTCTATATGGGAGCGCAGTCACACCGACACGCGCGACCTGGCATTCACATTACAGCGTTTTCAACCACATTGCGTTTTTGTGTAAACACAGCATAAAAACTGAAACCAAAACTTTCCCGTTTTCTATGGAGTTGGTTTCCGTCTAAAAGCGGCCTGAGAGTGTGTTACCTCCACATCCTTATTGTACAACTTTTAACACAAAGTTCTGGTGCTACATACACTCAGTGACAGCCAATATTGGCCACAGTGGATGAAATGAACTGCAGTTATGAATAGTATGTTTCCTAACCAGCAGCACACGCTGACTGAGAACCAGTTCTGATCAAATTCACCATGTTGGACATCTAGAAGCCAAATATCTGTTACTGTGGGATTGGAACCAATTGTAATATCCATAAAGTTCAGCTCTCTGATGTTGTGACTCTTAAACTCACCCTTGGAGAAGACGGGGGTCTGCCCTGTGAGCTGCTCCAGCACTTTAGCTGCTCGGGTCAGCCTGTCTCCGCTCTCACCGACGCAGATGTTCAGGCAGAGCTTGCGGATGCGAAGCTCTCTCATGGGGTTCTCCTTCTTCTCACCCTGGTCCTGTACGAAACACCAAACACACGTTTTAAAATGTCTGCAGGTTAAAGACACGTCAAAAAAGGAAACTCAGAGCGCCTCACTGACACACCTGGGCAGGTTCAGGTGGTGACATGTCACAGGTTACCTGACTATTTCAATCAGTTAAAGAGCTGTGTGGGCTGTCGATCTCAAACTGGGCTTAAATTAGACTTTAAGGGTCGATTAAAATGATAATATCCAGAGAGAGGACACTTTCCCTCCAGATAACTCTCAGCTGTGTCAAACGAGCGCAGGCCGGAGGACATGTCCGTACATATCCCCCCGGTTTCTGCTGCTCGTTCACAGTTACACTCATAATAACATTAATATTAAATTTCTAACGATCTGCCGAGATGTCCCAAACTGTCCGGATACCGAGTAATCTTACAAACGTAGCGTCACATTTATTCTTTAAACATAATTTCAAGCACAGAGGACGACAGTGTTCTCCGTTCGCTCGCATGTTAGCATCACTCGGTTTTACGGACTTTAACTCATTTCTGTCGCCTTTCCTGGACAAATACGACCGTAGATTATTAGTTCACAATAAGGTCTATGTCTGTGTATGATAAACTGCGGTATGGATGGTCCCACGCCTCCGATGATTGAGGATTACAACTCCAAGAACAGGTTTGATCGCCATAGTACGGTGTGAGAGAGTACTCACCGCCATGTTGGATCACTAGAAGAGGACGTTGCGCTTCCGGTGAAAAGCATTTATAGGGATGTGTCCGCTCTAAAAGGGCTCGGTGCAACATCGAGCTGTAATAGCGTTCCGCTTTACGCACTCCGTAAATAATTGGCAGGGAAACAACGAACAAGAAGCACGTTTTATGAATATGGTTTATATTGAGTGATTTATTTATTCATACCCCAAAATCCAGTGATAAATGCCCTCTGGAAAAAGTAACTATAGGGTCCACCGAGTTAGACACCCCCCTGAGAAATGAATGTTGCCGACTGCTTGCTTCTCTAGTTATACCAACTTTAGTAACAAGTGCAGGATAGTGATACACAGTGGTCTGAGGAGCCATAAACAAACATCAACCAAAACGCCACTCTATAGCCACAAATAATGCTCAGAACAGCACCTAACTTCAGCTACAGGACATATAGGGCCACAGCCATAGTACTAGACACCAAACATCTCTTTAACGTTGACTCATTTCTTTAGCAAAGAGACTAAACACAACTCACCTACTCTCTTCCAGCAGCCGCTTGTTTGTAGTGAGACCTCAGGCCAGTCCATTACGGACTACAGTGGGGTGACGCAGCTCAAGGAAGAACATTTATGATCATTTCTTCATCATTTCCTTGAACTATCAATCACCATATTAATCATTTTGCAGACGCGGTAGTTTTTTCTGCCTTAGCGTCTCGGTCTGATTGTATTTCCATGAAGAAATGGAAACATTTTTCTCCCCCCTGGTTGTGATGTTGACATGTAGTTATTGTAAGACTGGTTTGTGCTCAAGTCCTCTTTTTTCTGTGCAGCTCTGTTTTTAAAAGTTATTAGGGGGGTTAAGTTTTATATGATTGACACCTGATGCAGCCTATGGGCGTTCAGAGATTGCGTAGCTCACCCGGGGGATACGCTGTTTGAGCCGAGCGTCATCACAGCGAATCTCGGCGACTGCGCGGCCAAATGCGCGCGTCGCTACCTCGCAGCGCTGGTTTCAGGAAATGAAGAAAAATCCCGGAAATACCGAGAGCTTTTTGGCTCCAAATCTGTATACAGGCGGGAGGCGGAACCAAGTTATCCGTAGTATATACAGTCTATGGCAAAGACGTTAGTTTGTGTCAGCATCAGTGGTAATAAACACTGTAAAAGAAAAGTTCGTTTCAGTTGACAGGATATTTAAGAAGACTAAATAACGTGGAAATATAAATGTCTGATCCTCTCCTGCAATCCAGACAAGGGCAGAGTTGGTAAGTACTCAGTTTATATCACTCAAGTTGTAACTTTTGCTTGATTTTGTTTAAAACTTGTGTCAAATGCGAAGTTCTGAAAATTGAATGAGGACAAAGTCAACACTTGCTTTGATGCAGACGATCTATTCACATTGTCTCACATTACCGTCAATGGAAACGGTCATCATTGTGAGTCGTTGTGTCTGAATAATTACAAATAAATAGGTTCAAATGGTCATACAGATGTCCAGTTTGTCTTGTCTAGCATAAATGCTGAAATGTTTTTGAGCGCGCTGAAACTAGCCTATTTATTAACCGCGAACGGTTAATAAATAGCTTTGTTCGTGCCGTAAGGCGATGAATCCGTTGCCATGGTAGCACCAGAGGGACTATTTTCTACATCTGTATGTATTCTCAAATCAACGAAATCGTTCTTAAAGGAATATTCCGGCGTAAAATTAATTTAGGGTCAAACACACTGCAACACTGAGTTGGTCACCCCCTTCAAGATGAATGTTCACAACTCACCTACTCTCTTCCAGCAGCCACTTGTTTGTAGCGAGATCTCAGACCAGATCATTACGGACTACAGCGGGGGTGACGCAGCTCAAGGAAGAACATTTATGATCATTTCTTTATGGAAATGCAATCAGACAGAGATGCTAAGGCAGAAGAACTACCACGTCTGCAGAGCAAAATGATCAATATGGTGATTATTACTTCAAGGAAATGATAAAGAAATGATCATAAATGTTCTTCCTTGAGCTGTGACACCCCGCTGTAGTCGGTAATGGACTGGCCTGAGGTCTCGCTACAAACAAGCGGCTGCTGGAAGAGAGTAGATGAGTTGTGTTTAGAAATTAGTCAAAGTTAAAAAGATGATTGGTGTCTAGTACTATGGCTGTGACCCTATATGTCCTGTTGATGAAGTTAGGTGCTGTTCTGAGCATTATTTGTGGCTATAGAGTGGCGTTTTGGTCGAGGTTTGTTTATGGCTCCTCAGACCGCTGTGTATTGCTATCGTGCGGTCATTACTGAAGTTGGTGTGGTGTGTTGGTGGTGAAGGGGGTGTCTTACTTGGTGTTACGCTGTGTTTGACCCAAAATTAATTCTATGCCCGAATATCCCTTTGAGACAATGTTTTGTATCAGTTCATGTTTGACTTCAGTTGTTAGCCGGGTAAGAAGCAAGGGAATACACAGTGAACAGACAGTTACGGAAAATTAAATCCTATCAGAGTGAGAAAAGACTTCTCTGCTTCACGCTGAGGTCTGGTCTAGTCCCTTTTAAATGCTAAATTCAATAAGCACCATTCTTTTTCATAATTTATCCCATTTACTCGTCAAAAATGAGCTTTTATAATAGTGTGAATGCTCGTCATTAGCATTTCAGTGGAAGTGCTAAGTTTTGTATGTTGTTGTGTAACATGAGCGCCCTCTGCTGGGCAGTGTTGTGTCGATTCGTGATGAGCTCCATCAAAACACATTGAATCAGTACATTTTTTCTATTTCTTAATGTAGCATGTATGAGAGAACCTTCGAGTTTAATACCAAATGCTTTCTGTGTTCAGCGGCTGTGAGAGGCCTTCTGTGTTTCCTCTGTTTTTAGAAGTGAAGCTGTGAGCTCCAAGACAGACACAAGTCTCAGACAGCCCTTACCCTAACAGTGTTTGGTTTGACCAAACATAACTAATTTGTGTTGTTGGGTGTTTTAAATCAATGAGACCCTGTTAGGTAATGAAACACAATCTTAGGCAGCAATTTATTAAGATTTTTATTGTTTTGGTTTGAAGTTAATCATGATCATAGTTTTCCCCACAAAGCCCCATCCTTCCTTTCCTGCGGAAACTCTTCCGATGAGTTTTAATCAGCATAAGCCAGTCCTTGAGTAGAGAGCTCTGCTTCAGAAAAGACTGTGCTGGGCGGTAAAGGTGATGTGGGGATGGGGCAAACTGCTGCTGCTGCTGAGATGCAACCTTTCGGTGGGCATCCTGCATGAAAATTCACTTCTTCTTCTGGGCCTTCTCTGCAGCCTTGGTCGTCTTTCCACTAGCGTGTTCCTTCTTCACAACAGACTTGATGACACCGACAGCCACTGTCTGTTTCATGTCACGCACAGCAAAGCGACCTGGGAGAAAGAGAGTCAGTCAGTGTAACAATAAATGTCTCTTCATTCGAAAAAGTCACAAAGCATGTTTTATTCAAGTAAGTTTCACTCACCTAATGGAGCATATTCAGAGAAGGCCTCCACAACCATGGGTTTACTGGGAGACAAGACAATCATGGCAGCATCTCCAGATTTGACACATTTTGGGTTGTCCTCGAGCTTCTTGCCAGAGCGACGGTCCACCTTTTCTAGGAGCTCCTGAAACTTGCAGGCAATGTGAGCAGTGTGGCAGTCAAGCACAGGAGCGTAACCTGCATGAATCTGTCCGGGATGGTTCAGGATGATGACCTGCAAGGGAAGAGAGAGGATGAGAAACAAAGAGCAGAGGTAAAAAAATCGGACATTGAAACATATCCGGGAAAATTACTGAGTTATGTGATGGCGAGAATAGGGAGAGTGATCTCAGCTGTCGTATTTGAAAATATGACAGTTTTCAAAACTGTAATCTTCGGGCTCTCAGGTGACAAAAAAACTGATGAGACTCTGCAATGGAGATCACTGTATGGGCCCAAAATGACCTCCAAAAACATAACTTCTTTTGCATTCTCTGATCTACTCATCATAACATTTAATAAAAGAGAATTGATGTTTTTTTAACTTTTAAGCTGAAGTTTCCACCTTGTCCTTTCCTATTGACTCACCTGGGCAATGAAGTTGTCTACTCCCTTGGGAGGGTCGTTCTTGCTGTCCCCAGCCACGTTTCCACGGCGGATTTCCTTGACGGACACGTTCTTGACATTGAACCCGACGTTGTCACCAGGCAGAGCTTCTGGCAGAGCCTCGTGGTGCATCTCCACAGACTTCACCTCAGTGGTCAGCATGGGGGGAGCAAAGGTGACGACCATGCCGGGCTTCAGGATACCAGTCTCAACACGGCCGACGGGGACAGTTCCAATACCTGAGAGTGAGCAAAAACTGTTTCTAGTACATTCTTTGAGTAGCTACAGGATTTGTCCTCTTGTACATCGTGTCGGTAGGCCTAGTGAGGCTGGGGAAATCTCTGCCAACTTTCACCTTTGTTTTGATGAATACAAAAACTCTATGAGGATCAGGCTGGTTGATAACAGAGTGGCCTCACTAAAGCTGGAGCTTCCTGAGAGAGTTATCCCCTCCATGTTTGTCTGGTCACTTTTTTTCAAATCGTGAACCCTGATCTTGTTGCACATACTCAGTGTGTTAAGTAATATGATGTTCGTGAAGCTGAATCCTTGACTCCTTACCTCCGATTTTGTAGACGTCCTGCAATGGCACACGCAGGGGCTTTTCTGTGGGGCGTTTTGGGGGCAGGATGGAATCAAGAGCCTCCAGTAGGGTTTTCCCGTTGGCATTGCCCTCCTTGCGCTCAATTTCCCATCCCTTGAACCAAGCCATCTACACACGAATATAAATTATGTTTTAAAACACATCCATATCAATCCTCTGCGTACGTCAAAGAGAGGGGTAAAATCGCCTCACCTTGTCACTGGGCTCCAGCATGTTGTCTCCGTGCCATCCAGAGATGGGAACAAAGGCAACAGTCTTGGGGTTGTATCCGATCTTCTTGATGTAGGTGCTCACTTCCTTGGTGATTTCGTCAAAACGGGTCTGGCTGTACGGGGGCTCAGTGGAGTCCATCTTGTTGACTCCAATAATGAGCTGCTTCACACCGAGGGTGAAGGCCAGCAGGGCGTGCTCACGGGTCTGACCGTTCTTGGAGATACCAGCTTCAAACTCACCAGTACCAGCAGCAACAATCAGCACGGCGCAGTCAGCCTAAACAGGGAGGAAATGTTCCATATGTCACAGTTTAAATAGGTTTTGTTTCTATATTTGGTCTTCAGATCTACTTTATTCTTTCTCTTCATTAGGAACCTTTTCTCTATCAGTGACACTTGTAAAATCTAGTGAAACAGTCACATCATGTTCTTCTGTTGGTGCTGAATAGATGGTAAGACTATAATACTACATGCCTTTATTTGCTTAACAATGCTCTGATTATCTTAGTAATGAATTATCTGTCATGATACTTAAAATAATGACACAGGCATAATTGACATATCTTGTATCGGGCTGTAGATGTAGAGGAAGCGGAAAAAAGACAAGCGCTCACAAGGATTAAAAAGAAGCATTTATCGTCCTTTTTCTCACTAAACTAGGTATTCATTTGGATTCAGCTTCAGGTTGATATGTCTGCTGTGGTTGAGAGTAAAATCTCAATTTTCTCACGTGTTACAAAGAACAAAACTTTAATGTGAAAAGCTCGTAGCGAGCAGACACAACAGCAGGCATGTCCTACCTGAGAGGTTCCAGTGATCATGTTCTTGATGAAGTCTCTGTGTCCAGGGGCGTCAATGATGGTCACGTAGTACTTACTGCTCTCAAACTTCCACAGAGCGATATCGATGGTGATACCACGCTCACGCTCGGCCTTCAGTTTGTCCAGCACCCAGGCGTACTTGAAGGAGCCCTTACCCATCTATGGTGATAAAGAAAGTTAAGCTTTATACAAACTAATTTAAAAATGAAAGCATAAGAATCACAAACTTTAAACATGAATACAAGTCTGGTACTGATTATATTTTGTACATGTAATAGTTTTTTATACCACAAAACACTCAACAATCAGGAAGTATCGATTTACTTAATGAATAAGCAGGGGTCTATTTTGTTCTGCTCTTTTTTTGTTAAAAAGGAAGTAAAAATCACCAAACACCATGCTGTAGCATATCTTTGATGGTGGTTGCACACATGTTTGAACAGCAGGTGGCAGTAGTTAGAAAGCAAAAATTGGGAACAGTTACAGCCGCCACACCCTTTGTCAGAACCTGTTACTTCAGGGGCTGAGTGATGCAGGGCCTCTTTGTGTCACAAAGCTGCCGATGCAAATGAGAATATTTGTCCAAAGTGTTAACCGAGACCTGTTGCGACACTGTGACTAACCTCAGCAGCTTCCTTCTCGAACTTCTCGATGGTTCTCTTGTCGATTCCTCCGCACTTGTAGATCAGGTGGCCGGTGGTGGTGGACTTGCCGGAGTCGACATGGCCGATGACCACGATGTTGATGTGGGTCTTATCCTTTCCCATTTTGATTCACTGGAGAAACACGGTGAGATAATGTTAAATTGAGGCTTAGTGCAACCACCATTTTAGTAGTTAAAAATCAGTTTAGGTATGCTAACATAAGCTAGCATTAGCCAGTGTTAACTAGCTGACCACATGGGCTAGCATCAGCCTGTCGGTTGTTGCATAAGGTAAGGCCTACCGGCTAATCCAATTCAACCACGTCAGTAACTTTATATTTTATAAGTACAATAAAAAATTCTTCCAAATGAGTACAACTTATATTTTTATTGTTGTATTCAACATCAAGAACGTCATGTGTTACAAAATTAAGTTTCGTCCATTTGCAAAGATTGTGGAGTTGCATAAAAGGCTTTTAATTGGATCATAACCATTAATACTAATGTTTTTTATTATCGTTGATACACATGCATCAAATAAAAGTTTCTTATATATACATATACATATATATATATATATATATATATATATATATATATATATATATATAGATACTACAAAAATCCTTCATTGATTAAAAGTTTTAAAGGTAAGAGTTGGAATAAAATAAACTGTATTTCTTCTCAAATGTTATCTTGGTGGGTGTAATTTGGCAGCAAATAGAATTATTTCTTTTTAAAAGGTGCCATAAACATGTACTTTAAAGAAGTGTGAGTGTGTTAACTTTATTTCTTACTTCGGTGTCTTTTGAAAGTCTACATTTAATTAGAATTAAATTTAATCTTTCTCCACAGTGTCCATATTGAGCTCTTGCCACGTGGTTCGAGCTTTGAGAGGCGGAGAAAATTCTATTTAACGATGAATAAATCTTTAGAAATAAGTGTAATTCAATAGAAATAGGTGCCTATGACAAAATCATCAAATATATTTGAAGGAATTGAAGCTTTTCTCAAATATTGGAGGGTTTTGCCTTTTTTTGGAGTTTGGTTAGCTATATTACTCACCTGGTTGCAAGGTAGTCTGAAGGTGGTGGAAGTCGGTCCGCTCCTGGTGGTCTGCACTGTCCCAAACTGCAGTGTCTGTACAAAAAGCATCTGTGGGTAACGCCTCCTCAGAAGCCCTCCTCCTGATTTTCTGGATCGGTCTGAGTCTGCGCATTGCTGTTGAAGTGTCACTCATTGCTCAACCCCCACATTTGCATGATTATAGCACAGCTTCACCTGTCACGGCGCTAATATCACGACAGCATACCTGACCAACTAGTTCTGCTTGTTGGTTCTTGTTTAGTGCAAATTACAGGACTTGCCTTGAAATTCTTTCCTTCACTTCCTCGCCTTTTCTACTAGGAAGTTTTTCTACTGATAAACCTTTGAAGGTATGGAAAAACTGATTTATAAAGAACCTATAAAAAGAAAACCCCCATTTTTAAAGGCCCAAACTGACACTCAAGATACTTTGACCTCCTGATTAATAGGAACAAAATGTCCTCTAAGATGTTGGAGATCGGGTCAATTTTGAAAAGCAAAGGGTTCATCTTCACTTGCAAATGTTCAGATTTGTTTTTGTTTTAAAGCGAAGACACATACCGTCATGAAGTCTTCTGATGTCGTTCAACCTGCATAAACCAGTCCTGGATGCTTCTGGGTAGGGGGCGGGGGGCAGGTGGGGCAACTTGCACCTGAGGCTTCTTGTCAGGAGTCCTGCATAACAATTCATTCTCCTTGGTGACCTTTCCGGTTGTGGCGGTGTTTTTCTCGACGGACTTGATGACACCAACGGCTACTGTCTGCTTTTAGCACAGCGACCTGAGGGCAAAAGATGCACCAGGAAAGAGAATTTGTTGGAGGCGAAAGATGAAGATTATGCAGTAAATAATCGTACTTCCATCAACAAAATCATTGAGTACTTTGCATGCCAGTAGAAATATCTTTTTTTTAGGATTAAGTCCTGAAGTAATCACTTATCTCTCCAGATATCCCTACCATGAAGTATGCATTACTTGAAGCTGAAGTTCTACATTTTTATTTTCTTGCTTTCTCACCAAACAAGAAGCTGTGATCAATGTTGATTTTGATTGGTTAAAGTCCCTTGACAACGATTATTCCCAGGCAGCGCCAAGTCCGTAGCTGATCACACTTGACACTAATAGATGCACAGACAAATCGTGTGGTGTTAATGATTTCACCTCCTCCTGTAGACAATGTGACAAAGATATTTGTTTCTTGTAGTTAGCATGAGGTTTGTTCGACATTGGGACGGTTTGGTTACTGACGGCTTTGTAGCTATTAAACTTCTCGCTCAAAACCCGGCGTGCAAACACCGGAGCAAGCGCAGAATGCTTAGGCATGTCAGTCCGATTAAACCACATTCGTGACAGAGGAAATTGCTCCCCAACCCTATTATCTAGATATGTTTGTCTGACTGTAAGAAATTCAATTTGGTGGGATTTCAGCCGGACTTCTGTGTTAACATGATTTTTAAAAGTCCATTATCAACCGGAAATTCATCAAATAGCAAATTAATATCGTGATGGTCAAGGTTTGAAGTCGCCCTGCCGGTAGAGCTATATTTCACATTACCACAGACTAACTGTACAATATTACTGACTTAGTTTATTAATTTTGAAATTGTAACTTTAAGTTGGTAAACCTATACTTGGTATCAAACCAGATGCTTCCTTCTACGATAAAGTAGCATTTTCACATTTGGAGCCAGGCTCTAGTGGCCACTTATAGAACTGCATGCTTTTTGTTTTTCCTTCTTCTCAAATTTCTGCCAAGACAGCCAATGTTAATGCTTATTTGATCAGATAAATGCTGTTTATGTTCCATGTAATTGTCCAGGTGTCAAAAACATAATGTTCTATATCGTTGTCTTTAAACCTGAAGAGTAAAATAGAGTAAATTCATCATTATTGTTGTTTATACACCTGGGCTTGTCCAGCAGAGGCATTTTCCCCAAACTCTGCTACAGAAAAGGTCAACTGAAGAGATGGACATATCTTAATAAAATGAGGGCAAAGTACTTACCCAGTGGAGAAAGCAAGAGAAGGCCTCAACGACCATGAGTTTGTTTAATGTTGGGATAACAATGGAAGCAACTCCAGATTCGATGCGCTGGTGTAGTCCTCAGGATTCTTGCCTTTTTGTCTAGGATTTCTCTGAACTTGCTGACAATGTGAGCAGTTTGGTGATCCACCACAGGAGTGTAACCAGCACACATGAGTTCTGGATGATCACCTGCAGAGAGAGAGGGAAGGGGAACCTAGAAGCACAAAGAGGATGATTGATCTTGGATATAACCATGGCTTTAGACTCTAGTTGTAGGAAACCAATTTGCCTCTGAGAAAATAAGTTGATTTAGGTAGATCAGCTGTTATATGGTTGAACAAGAATACTAAATAGTGAAATAGAGATGAACAACATAGAAGTTGTATTTTTTTCTATAAAAAATTAGAGTTCACAAGAATGATTGATAATTCATCTCTCGCTGCCCTTGTCTTTGAAACAGTGTTTTTCATACTCATTAAATCTTATCACAAGCATTTTTTGCAGATGGACACCACCACGCATGTGCTAACCACAAGCTAGCAAATAAAGTTGAAGAGAGCAGCAGTGTATTATCCCCCTGGAAGCTCCAAAAGAAAAAAAAACACTCAAAATAAAACAAAGTTTGTTATAATTTGAGACGGAGGCTTGTCTGTGTCAGCCAAAATAGTAACACGTGTAATGCTAAAGGACAAGGAGGAGCCAATTTTCAATTTTTTAAATGACGTTTGTTTTTATTGGTTACTAGCAGCTTTCTCTCCAATTGAAGTCGTGGCATTTTTAAACATTGAATTACAGTCCTAAACCATTTCAAAGTTCTTTTTTCCTGCGAAAACTTTTGCGATGGGTTTTAATCAGCATAAGCCAGTCCTTTGGGAGAGAACTCTGCCTCAGAGAAGATGATCCAGGGTGGGGGCAGTAGAGAGAGGAAGGTGTGGCCTGCTGCTGCCGGCACACATCTTGTTGCTGGATGTCCTTCACGATCATTCATTTCTTCTTGTCGGCCTTCTGTGCAGCCTTGGTTGTCTTTCCACTCACTTCCTTGGGCTCAACTGACTTGATGACACCGACAGCCACTGTCTGCCTCATGTCACGCACAGCGAAACGACCTGAGAGCAAACAAGGTAAGCAGTTAGTGCACACATGAATACTTGTTTATGTAAATACAGTTTCCCGCATTTAAACTCAGAATAATGTGAGTGTATGAAAGGTTTGATTAAAAACATACCGAGGGGAGCAAATTTGGAGAAGGGCTCCACAACCATGGGCTTCTGTGGTTTCAGCAAGACCATGGCAGCATCTCCAGACTTGACAAACTTGGGGTTGTCCTCAAGCTTCTTGCCAGAGCGACGGTCCACCTTTTCTAGGAGCTCCTGAAACTTGCAGGCAATGTGAGCAGTGTGGCAGTCAAGCACAGGAGCATAACCTGCATTGATCTGTCCGGGGTGGTTCAGGATGATGACCTGTAGAAATACTCAGTGTTAGATCTCCGTTAAGATTGTTAGATCAATCTTAACGGATGTATAAATCTGCTGAAACCATCTCAACACAAACCTGAGCATTGAAGCTCTCAGCTCCCTTGGGTGGGTCGTTCTTGCTGTCCCCAGCCACGTATCCACGACGGATTTCCTTGACGGACACGTTCTTGATGTTGAAACCAACGTTGTCACCAGGCACAGCTTCTTGCAGAGCCTCGTGGTGCATCTCCACAGATTTCACCTCAGTGGTCAGCATGGGGGGAGCAAAGGTGACGACCATACCGGGCTTCAGGGCACCAGTCTCAACACGGCCGACGGGGACAGTTCCAATACCTGAGAGTGAGAGTACGAGGAAAGAAATTATTAGAATTCTGACATTGTGTCAAGGACGGTCATATCTACAGAAGTAACCTCTCTGTTTTGTCCCTTTCCTCTGCTGGAGCGTCTGTTCTGTCTCCTATCACTGCTGTTGAAACTAAAGATGATGTATTTTCATTAAAACAACAACCAACAGCTGTACATACTTTCTGTCTCCCATCAATCTTATTGGCTCTGTGTCTGTGCTATTGCTTCCATAGACTCTTTTGCATGAAGTTGTTGCTAATGCACTCTGAAAAAGGGATGAATTTATGGATCCCATACCTATTCACTGAGGTGAATTGGTTTGGCGACACTGGGCTAGAAATTCAAAGCACAGTTTAAATGACTTAAAATACTTCTCAAAAAGGATAGCAAGACAATTATGAAACAATATCAAGTAAAATGCTTTGTTCACTGTTAGAATAATGTGCATAAATGTATATAGAAGTTATCATTATTCCTCATATTCTTATGTAAGAGTTGACTACAAGTATAAACTGTTTTGACCTCTTTTTATACATTATATAAGAGTGTTTCCTAACTTCTCTCTTCAATAGATTTACTACACAGCACAACAATGTTACTTTCAGTTTTCTGTGACTGTCTTTCCTATCAGCAGGTGGGGGTGTGTGAGTGATGGATCCTCCGCGGTAAATCGTGGGGAGTTTTTGAGGAGGTGCCGCTGTTATCAGAAGGAGCTCATTAGATGCCGCCTTGACCTTCACATATTCACAAGTGTTCATTATGCTTTATGAGAATGTTTACTTTGCTGCACCATTTATCACCCCTTTTGAAACATTATGTAACCAGGGACTAAATAAAAGAGCACGGACAGAAAAAGAACCCTCAGTGTGGTACTGAGATATCCAAAACACATCTCTGTCCATTACTCAAACTTATCCATTGTCTTTCTCCTTTTTATTTCAGGTAAAATGCAAGCAGGTTTTAAACCTAACATTTCTTTGGTCCTTCGAGCCGGATTCCAATAGACCAGACGATTCCAGCAGGTGAGGTGGACGACAGATAAGACCGTGGCCACGGCAGACTCTTTAGGATGAGTCTTGAAGACCTCTTTGAGGAACTGGACTCGACCTGCCTGCTGGGATCCGACGGTTGACGGAAATCCGAAGCCAAGGGGAAAGACAAGTGGTGAGTTGGTCTTTTATAAAAAGGAGCGTGGAATGATTGAAATTCACTTCGCGTAGAGAATTTATAAAAGACCAAAAAGGGTGCCGGAGTCCTACTACTAGAAATAGTTTAAATTCCGAGAAGGGTGCCGGAGTCCTACTAGAAATAGTTTAAATTCCGAAGAAGGGTGCCGGAGTCCTACTAGAAGTAGTTTAAATTCCGAAGAAGGGTGCCGGAGTCCTACTAGAAGTAGTTTAAATTCCGATGAAGACGCGCGTGTCCGGTGTGGTACCGTTGACAAAGGCCTAATTGAAAAGAAAAAAAAAAAAAAAAAAAAAAATTCTGCAGAACAAAACACGTGTTAAAAGTGTGATTGTGAAAGTGTGAGAGTGATTGGAATAGGCATATATCACTAGATATATCCTATTCATACCAAAACAGTGGGATTGTAAGTAGTGACCTTATTGTGGAAGCAAAGGCAAGAATTCTCCACTCGCAAGAGTAGAAGCGAGAATTACCACATAAGGAATTTTTATCACTACCCCATTGAAAGAACCCAGCTTAATAGGACACCCTAGGTGTCACCTAAGCTGGACCAAAACACATAAAAATGGAGACGAAAACCAGTAAGGCTATTTTGGAAGAATTAAGATGTCAAGATTGGAGAATCTTTGAAAAAGAGCCAGAAAAATTACAATTCCTCGAATTATGGGTAACTAAATTTGGATTTGATGGCAGCCTAAGAACAAGCCAATTAAATAAACTACATGACTCCATAAGCATAAAATATGGGTGTCAAATGATTGATGAATGGAAAAAAGTAGCAAAAGCCAGAGAGGATGGAGAAAGGAGGAGAACAAGGAAGAAGCAGGTTCAGAGGCAGGAATTTCAATAGAGAACACAATAGAGGAAATAGAAGTTTTGACAAAAGTTATGAATCACAGGAGCAAAGAGATAAAGAACAGTACCCTGACCAAGGTCATGAACCACAACATCAGAGAATTGTAGAGCTTTTTTGTCACTAGGTGAAGAGCTGTAGAAAAACGTATCAAGCAGGACTAGAAGAGGGAGAGACAGCAAATGTTATTTGACAGAAATAAAGAGAAAGTGTGAACAGAGACGAGACAGAGGAGGAAGAAGTGCTAAACTTGGAGAAGATAAATAAATATATAAAGATATTTTGATAGATAGATTGATGAATATACTTTATTGATCCCAAACTGGGAAATTCTCTTGTTATAGTAGCAAAAAGAAAATATAAAACTAAATATAAGAAGAAGTACAATGCAGACTAAAAATAATTAAAATACTAAGTATATACAATAAATATAGGCTAAATATACTAAACATCCTAAGAGATAAAAGTGAGATATGAAGAACGTGGACTATTGAAATTAGTAAAAAATATGAAATGAGTGATAAATATAAAATGAGAAATATTACAGATGGGATGATAGATATACAGACAATTTAAGGTGCTCTGTAATATGATGTGATAGGAGTTTTTAAAAAATGGACTATACAGCAGACAGGCGTGAGTCCCTGTCTGACATATGTGAGTTATTTAACAGTGTAATAACTTGTGGCAGGACAGATTTCCTGTATCAGCGGAGCTGCAACAGTCATTTGGAGAAGGAATACATTGTGCAGACATAACACCGCAGATATAGTTAATGATTCAGGGTTTACCCTTAACCTTTTTGTGTGGCTCCGGTGCAAAGAAAACAGTTCTTAGACATAAACTATCACAGATTAGGTTTTCCAAACAAAAGATTTTTGTCAAATCAACACACAGAGAGAGCTTGAGAGATAGTAATAGCGAGTCATGGGCCTTGCCATGTCTCGACAGGAGGGAGGAGTGTAGTAGTTAACCCTATTGATTCATAAATTATTTAAAAAATAAATAAATAAATAAATAAATAAATAATGATAACTAGAAAATGCAATTTCTGAAGAAATTGCGAGATGGATTGCTCCAGCTAAAATTGTAATTGCTAAGATGCTATTGTAAATGGTTTAAGTTCAAAAATTATGCGAAAGATATGAGATTTGAAGATTCAGAAAGGTTTAAATCAGTTTAAATGAGTTGGAATTAGTTTGAAAAAATTGAATACTGAGTGAAGAATGAAATGATTTAAAATTAAAATGATCATAATCTGAATGTATAGAGGAGTTGAAGTCTTTTAAAGTTGTGTAAAGAAAATGTGAGAAAAGGGCCAATTTAAAAATTCCGTAATGTATTTCTAATAAGAAAAATTGGTTGGAAAACCTGGAATATCTCGGAAAGGAAGAATGTTAGGAAAATTTTGAATATAAGCTGGAATCTCCTGAAGTTTGAATGGTTTTTAATACGTTGAAGTAAGTGGAAGGAATTAAAAAAAAATTAAGGTACTGCTAATGACACCTACAGCAGTAAAAATAGCACAAAGAAGTAGTTGGATACATCTTTCCCATTTGCAAAAAAAACCTATATGGGTTTTAGTTAGGAAAGTCTGACTTCAAAGGGGGGCGTCCTTATAGTGGGCGTTCGTCTCAATGTCAGTGAAGATTAGATGGTGTTGAATTCCTTAGGAGCTTAGGAAAATGGGGAAGTTAAGTATCTTACTGATGCTAAACCTGATACTGTTAATTTACCTACTGAAACATTATTTACAACTTCAGATGAACTTAAGGAAGGAAAGAGAAGTGATAACAACAATAGTCCTCACATCCTGTGTGACTACCAATCAAAAATCACATTCAGCTGTTCTGAAGGCAACCATGTGCAGAGAGGAAACCTGAGAGACAGTGAGCAGGGGTATGAATCACCCAGACGGACACCACAGTTGCTTCATGTGGTGAAGACACTGAGAACTTTACCATAGCTTAACTGCTACTAGGCGTTTGTGTTATTCTGTTTACAATGGGATTTTGTGTATGCTTGTTTTGTCAATAAACACTTATACTTATGTTTATTAAAGGTACATCACAAAATAAAATAAAAAAAAATTAATTAAAAAATGGTGGAAGAAGAATATTAATAAAGATATGAATAACATATAGTGGAATGCTTAGCAATCCCTCTCAATAAATAATGATTAAGAAAAACTAATTTGAAGTGAACATGTGGTACAGATATGCAAAAATATCTAGCAAAAATGAAGAATCTGTCTAACTTCTATGTCTGTACTAGGAATTCCCTAACCATAACAAAAGTGTATGTGTTTTCTGTAGCTGTACCTGAATGACAGCAGACTGATAATAGGACCTTAGTGACTTTAATCCTAACTGTTGTAACTTTCCAGACCAGTGTGGCAAATTTAACCTCTGCAGTTAGTCTTATTCCTTTGTTGAGCCACTCCAGAGTAAAAGAAATTAGCAAACAGAGTCAGACCCGATTTATATAGATAGTTCCTTGTGAGGTACCAGATGAGTATAAACTAGTAAATCAAATTGCTGCAGGCTTTGAGTCTCTCGTCTGTCCTTGGTGTACAATGAACAAAAATATAGATCGAATCAGAATCAACTACATCCATTTCAACGTTCAAAAGCTAGGTAATTGGACTGAGGCTGGTTTTCAGGCCGTTCACTTGCAGTTATCTGCAACATCCCTGATGGCTTTCCAAAACCATATAGCCCTTGACATGCTGCTGGCAGAAAAAGGAGGTGTATGTGCCATGTTTGGAGAAACGTGTCGCACGTTCATTCCTGATGACACTGCTGCTGATGGTAGCCTCACTCGAGCCATAGAGGGCCTAAAAACGCTTCACAGCAAAATGAAAGACCACTCAGGAATAGATAACTCCTTTTGGGATGATTGGATGAATGTATTTGGAAAATACAAAAATCTTGTAGATTCAGTCCTAATCTCTGTTGCTGTTTTTGCAGCTAATTTGACCTTGTGTGGATGTTGTTGTATTTCTGTATTTGTTCTCTTCTTAACCGCCTTATCACCACAGCGTTGTCCCCTGTGGAGCAGCAGATGCAGGAGCTGTACCCGCTGCTCCATCAGCAGGACGAGGAGGACAGACTTGATGACACTCAATGGCCTGACCTGTGCCCCAATCCGGATGATGAGTATAATTCTGACTAAAGCAACATCTTGTACCTCCGTGTGTAAATTCTTTGTAGTCATAAACATGAACTCGCAGCTGAAAATCGAGAGAAGTGGCTGAACTAGAGGGATTATGAGAATTTGAGCAAAGTAATGATAAACAGGAGGGAAATGTTAGAATAATGTGCATAAATGTATATAGAAGTTATCATTATTCCTCATATTCTTATGTAAGAGTTGACTACAAGTATAAACTGTTTTGACCTCTTTTTATACATTATATAAGAGTGTTTCCTAACTTCTCTCTTCAATAGATTTACTACACAGCACAACAATGTTACTTTCAGTTTTCTGTGACTGTCTTTCCTATCAGCAGGTGGGGGTGTGTGAGTGATGGATCCTCCGCGGTAAATCGTGGGGAGTTTTTGAGGAGGTGCCGCTGTTATCAGAAGGAGCTCATTAGATGCCGCCTTGACCTTCACATATTCACAAGTGTTCATTATGCTTTATGAGAATGTTTACTTTGCTGCACCATTTATCACCCCTTTTGAAACATTATGTAACCAGGGACTAAATAAAAGAGCACGGACAGAAAAAGAACCCTCAGTGTGGTACTGAGATATCCAAAACACATCTCTGTCCATTACTCAAACTTATCCATTGTCTTTCTCCTTTTTATTTCAGGTAAAATGCAAGCAGGTTTTAAACCTAACATTCACTTTATTTTTCCTTTATTAGAACAGCTGAATACTAGGGCGTCTGTGTACACTGTAACTGCTAGAACCAGGCAGAACCAGGTCCTTAGACTGCTAGAATAATGTTGAACAATTAGCTTCCTCTTGTTTCTGTAAATGATCAAAATGACCAGTGTTAAGCTAAAAACCGAGCTGGAAAAAATGACTATGACTACAAGTATGAGCATGACTTTGAATGTTAGAACAAGGGCTCTGAGGTCACCTTGTCTTGGGCACAGGTAAAACTGGTCAGCTGGCCTGGCTGCCAGTATTACATTTTCAACCGTAGTGTTAGTAAAGCATAAGTTTAATCACACATGCTTTAGCAATATTAACACAGAAACAGTCACAACAAAGGTATCTGCTTGTCACCAGGCTGCCCCCTTCACCTATTCCAAATGGACCAGATCAAGGTCCAAGTGTCTGTCTGATAATCTCCTGCCATGAGACACGATCAGTTCCTGAAAGGACTGCCTGTCCTAAACTTTAGAGAAACTGTCAGGAGCTCATGTCACTGCTACAAAGTGCTGCTGCTACATTACTATTTGTGCTTTAGTTTGGTTTTAGTCATGACCAGGAAGTAGATGGTATTAGAGTACATGTCTAAATGTCCCATTCCTGCAAACTTGCTGTGTGTAGTTGATATGATATGATATGATATTATGCAGGGTGGGATGAAACCACAGAATCCAAAACTCACCTCCAATTTTGTAGACGTCCTGCAGGGGGAGACGCAGAGCCTTGTCGGTGGGGCGGGCAGGTGGCAGGATAGCATCAAGAGCCTCCAGCAGGGTGGTTCCACTGGCATTGCCCTCCTTGCGCTCAATCTTCCAACCCTTGAACCAGCCCATCTAAAAAGGTTCACATTGGATTAGACATCACATTCAAACCAGACCCCTGTTTCACTTAAGTGAAATGAATGCTAGCCTCACCTTGTCACTGGTCTCCAGCATGTTGTCTCCGTGCCATCCAGAGATGGGGACAAAGGCAACATTGACGGGGTTGTATCCGATCTTCTTGATGTAGCTGCTCACTTCCTTGGTGATTTCCTCAAAACGGCTCTGGCTGTACGGGGGCTCAGTGGAGTCCATCTTGTTGACTCCAATAATGAGCTGCTTCACACCGAGGGTGAAGGCCAGCAGGGCGTGCTCACGAGTCTGACCGTTCTTGGAGATACCGGCCTCAAACTCACCAGTACCAGCAGCAACAATCAGCACGGCGCAGTCAGCCTAAACAGGGAGGAATTTCTACATCTGTGATTCAACATCTAAAGTTGAAGAAAATGGTGACTGTAATTTGCCCTTATTGATGTTTTTCATAACATTAAAACTGTATTTTTTATTTTTTTTATTTTTAAGGAAAGTAGACTAAGCAGTGTTTTTATTTATTTATTTTCATTTTTATTTTATTATTTTTATTTTTTTTGGGGGGGGGGGGGGGTCCCTTTTCAGTAGATAATCAAACTCACTTTTGAAATATCTTTTGGCCCATTTTTTTGTTTTTAAAAAGTCTTCTGGTGGCGGTGACTGGTCAAAAAGGATCACGAAATTATGCCAGCAAAGACAGACTCTACCAATTGGAGCAATGTTGGAGAAAAAAAAAAGAATTGTAAAAGCATACCAGAGCGACATAAAGGTTTTTTGCTCTTTACAATTTGACATGAATTAGCTTAGTGTATGCTAAGTATTCTTAAGTTGCACAGCGCAATCTATTAGCCTCTGACTGTTGCCTATAGCGACCACTAGAGGTCCCCACAACCTGACAGTTTTGGTTCTTGCAGCGAGCTACCAATTCACTTCATTGTCTGATATAAGATCAAATCAATGTTCACTCTTTGAACATCACTTTGAACTATTGTTCGTGCTCACACACAGGTTCCAGAAATAACTGAGCCGTGTACAGTACCATATATTAGGTAGACACTTAGTGGTTACTAGGTACTTTTGGTTATTTGGTTTCCAGATCACAAATGGATAAAACCAATGATATTCTGGCCCTTTTGCAGATTAAAAGGTGAATCTTTACCTGAGAGGTTCCAGTGATCATGTTCTTGATGAAGTCTCTGTGTCCAGGGGCGTCAATGATGGTCACGTAGTACTTGCTGGTCTCAAACTTCCACAGAGCGATATCGATGGTGATACCACGCTCACGCTCGGCCTTCAGTTTGTCCAGCACCCAGGCGTACTTGAAGGAGCCCTTACCCATCTTGTAAGGAGTTAGGGAGATAAGGAGTTAGCTTGTGTCTTCTATGTGTTACCGTAAGTATTAAATGAAATATTCATGCAGGCAGCAACATTGGTAGTCGTCAGAGGTAAAAGCAGCTCTAATTTGTAATACGTGATGAAGGAGTTTTGGTAAATTTCCAGGAAAGTGAACATTTCTATAAAACTCAGGTGGCGCATATGTGACAGCTGCTTTCACTCCAAAACCAAACCAAATTTAGGAGTAGTCTGCATGTGTAAAAAGAAAGCAAAATATTCCCCAAAAATATTCACGTCCTTGCTGCACTTTGTCACAAAATGTGAATGTTAAGTGTTAATGTAGACACCGTGACTAACCTCAGCAGCTTCCTTCTCGAACTTCTCGATGGTTCTCTTGTCGATTCCTCCGCACTTGTAGATCAGGTGGCCGGTGGTGGTGGACTTGCCGGAGTCGACATGGCCGATGACCACGATGTTGATGTGGATCTTTTCCTTTCCCATTTTGATTTACTGAAGAAACACGGTGAGATAATGTTAAATTGAGGCTTAGTGCAACCACCATTTTAGTAGTTAAAAATCAGTTTAGGTATGCTAACATTAGCAGGTGTTAGCTAGGTGACCACATGGGTTAGCTTTAGCTCACTGGTTGCTAAATTATGTGAAGCAAATCCATCAAAAATACACTACTCTTAGTTTTTAGGTTACCAGAGCAGTCCAACTTCCTTTTGCCTTCTTTCTGTTTCTTATCCTGAGTTTCTAATTTTGCATCTTATCCTCTGCTTTAGTTCAGATCCTTTATTTCCTGCTTTTTCTGTCTATTGTTACCTGCTTTCTTTGTGACAGGTATCCAGCTTTATCTCTTTCTGACCATTTCTGCATTTTTGGACTTAGAGTCAGAGGACTTAAACCTCTGTGTCCTCAATTATCTTTGTTCAGATTTGATGGTACAAGTCTAAACTGGCCATAGATTGACTCAGATCCCTTGCACGCGGCCCTCCAGGCCAAAGTCACAGGATAGCCCTCCAAGATGATCAGGATGCCTTTCTACGTCATGAAGCTAACAGATCAGCAGGAGTAAGCTGGGGTTACTTGGGTCTCTTGGCTCATCCTCTGGCCTTATTCTCATGGGGGACAGATTCCCTAAGATAATACGCTTTATTCCTCTACCTCAGCCAAGGAGTGTTGCATCACAGAGCCCATATTTAGACCAGAGCTCACAGTTTATGGTACAACTTTTGAAGAAATTCTGCCAGCTGTAGGAGGCTATGGTCATTCTCTCCCTGAGACGTCATCCTTAGACAAACAGTCTGAACCAGCGGCTGGTAACTGGTCTGTGCTGTTGAGCCCTCTTAAGTACCAACACAAAGAGCAATCAGCCTGGGCAGAGCATGCGCACAATTTCCTTTGTTCATCACCGCACTCTGCCTGTTTAAATACATTTTAAGCTCCTCCCCTCCCAGCTACGGAAAAGGAAATCAGCCTTGGCTCTGGAGTTTTCGCCACACCTGGCAATGAGCCTACCGCACGCTCGTTTGTAACCTGAGACATCACAAGTAGCCTGCAGATTGACAACTAACTTCAGTGTTGAGCTACAGTAGTAACAGACAGAGGGTCTACGATGGACCTTCTCACACATGTAGAGTCTCAAAAGCCTGCCCCCAGTTCCTAAGAGCCTTGTCCCATCTCAAAAGTTATTGACCACGTGGCTTTGGAACTCGGACTTTCCAGATCTGTACTAGTTCATCCTGCTCGCCATGTCTGACAGGCTAAACCAGCCAAAGAAAGCCCTATGGTCCCTGTCTCCAGACTCCTTCCTCTGATAAAAAAAAACTTCCAAAACTTTATGAAAACGTTTTAAGAATTGTAACGACATACCAATGAAACCACAGTAACCATGATATCACCTTCCCCTTCACCAACCGTGCATAACCACTCACTTCTGACCACATTTGTGCCATCCTCGACCAACACAACTAAGACAGGAAGTTGTCCACTCTAAGTAATGCAGGTTATGTAAAGCTGTGCCATGAGAAATGAAGCAGAAGTTAAGTAACTCTTTCAGAAACACGTGGCCCAGCATGGCAGAGCCATCTTGTCGGGGCATGACTCAACAGTCGACCTGTATCTGAAAAAAAGTTGGCACGCCCTTTTTAATAGTAGAGTCCACACCCAAGTCTTGGGTGGAGGTGTTCAGGACGCCATCTTTGTTAAACTCGTTGCCGGCAGTCTGAGACACGTGGCACTCACATTTAATGCCGTTTTTAACTGTCCAGACAGCTTCACAACCTGGTTCACGCCACCCCAGCAAACCACAGACAACTGAGAAAAATGCTCATTCAACGACTCTCATTGGCCAGACAAGCATAAGCATAATCACAACCTCATGGGTTTCTTGTGTCGAGCTCTGTTAACTCCCCAGATTAGTAGGAGGATCCAAATACAGGTACTCTTTGAATTCAGTTTGAATTTTGAAGTATGAGCAAACAGGTGAAAAACAACTAGATGGATCAACAGGAAGAAGTTCTCGTCAGTAGTTCTTATCCATCTCGTCCCATTTTAAGGGACAGAAACTATTCTTTTCTAGATATGAGATGGCTCTGGTTATATTCAAGAGTTTTGAAAATGTGATGAAACTCACCTAATTTCAAGGCAGTACGGAGGTGGTGGTGGATACCTGTCGTTGTCCGCCTGATCTGCAAGTGAATTAATCTTTGGGCACAGCTCTTTTATAACCTGCCCTCTGGGTGTTCTTGGCTCCGGATTGATTCTGCGCACAACTGATAGAGGTGCGCACAATGCACGATCCCACATGTTACATCCAGAAGCCCGTCGAACCAGTTTTACTTGTTCTTATTCAGTAAATAAAACACATCACATCTTAAAAATTTATTCACAGCTCTATCTTTTCGATCAGGAGTGCTCACTCTGAACTCCCCCAACCACACACACACACAAATCATCTAAAAGACGAGTAGATGAGAATGCGTGTGCCGTAGCCTCTTATTAGTTTGAGATCATTTATGTCTTGTAATAAAACACAAACGAGTCATTTTCATTTGGCAATGTTTAAGATTTTTATTGTTTTGGTTTGACGTTAATTATGATCGTAGTTTCTCCTACAAGGCACAAGCCTTCCTTTCCTGCGGAAACTCTTCCGATGGGTTTTAATCAGCATAAGCCAGTCCTTGAGTAGAGAGCTCTGCTTCAGAGAAGACGGCGCTGGGTGGCAGGGGAGGAGAAGGGATGGGGCGACCTGCTGCTGCTGAGGCACGACTTCTTGTTGGACGTCCTGCATGACAATTCATTTCTTCTTGTCGGCCTTCTGTGCAGACTTGGTGACTTTTCCACCGCTGGCGGCCTTCTTATCGACAGACTTGATCACACCAACAGCCACTGTCTGCCTCATATCACGCACAGCAAAGCGACCTGGGAGAAAAAGATGCCCCACAGTCAGTTTGAGGTTTTAAAGATGAACATTATAGAGACACAATACCAAAGCTGTTTATGACAACACTGAGCACATTATACGCAAATAGAAATGTAAGAGAAAGTACAACATCTTGAACAGGATTACATAGTCATATGATGTTTTGTTATGAGACTTAAAACAACATTTTTACCAGTCCGTCTGATCCTAATTCTATGTAAGAAGTAATAAACCCATTTAGTTCTTCCTCGATCCTTGAAAACAGGGTTTTTTTTTACTAGTCTTTGGTTGATAATGCTGTAGTCAATCAATATTTTAAAGCTCATAATAGACTAAACTAAAGTGTATTATGAGCATTAATTATAAGAAAATGTAATTCTGTCACATAGATCTGCAGAGTGTGGCTAACTTTAGCAGAGCTAGCACCACCAGTAGGTGAACGTCCACATGTCTGTGCTCGTTACACAGTTTGTGTGGTTACATACCGGTTTAAACAGACAACAGACAACTTCATGTGATGCTAGAGCAGGACTTCTGATTATGACTTTGTTGACAGATGTGGTGGAGGCTCACACAGGACAGAAACCAACTGTACTTGTCTTATCAAAGTCAAATTTCCAGGTCTGGAGCTTAAACAGGATTTTTTATTTGGGATTTAGTTTTTCTTTAAAATGCCAGGGAATGACAGCAATTTAGAAGCATAACAGCACTAAGCAGAAGTAAACTCTGCTGTGATGGGCTCTGAATTTGAGGATGTGGGTGTTGCCGGCACAAAAAGAGTTGTGCAAAGGCAGAGTTATTTAACAAGCACAACGGACATTAATTTGATTATCAATCAGTCACTAAAGATGATTTACAAACTAATTAAAGAATGTGGATGTGGCCATTTTGATGTCACCCTTTGATTTTATGAATTACCAATCTGAAACCTGGAGTGATCACTCTGTGTTTGGAATAAAGTGACAAAGTTTGGGGGTTTTAGAGTGTCTACACGAGGCTGTAAACATGCGGAATCCAGTTATAAAGCTCTGTGTTTTAACACTGAGGTCTATGGTGGTTGACTCACTTTTGGAACCAACCTCTAGTGGCCATTCATGGAACAGCACTTGATTAAGAAAATTATAATTCATGTTAAGATGATAAAATCAATGATGGCCTTGTTCCATTTTAGTGCCCAACTATTGAAAACTGATTGTGCTACATCAGGGCCTGTGGACTTGGACATCCAGCTGTGAAATAGGAATCAAACTGGTTTGTCAAATCATAAAAAAAAAGAAAAGGGGAAACATCATTTCACTCACCCAGTGGGGGGTACTGGGAGAAGCTCTCAACACACATAGGTTTTCCAGGCACCATGGTGATGATGGCAGCGTCTCCAGACTTGAGAGCCTTGGGGTTGTCCTCAAGCTTCTTGCCGGAACGACGGTCGATCTTCTCCTTCAGCTCACTGAACTTGCAGGCAATGTGAGCGGTGTGGCAGTCAAGCACAGGGGCGTAACCCTGGGAGATCTGACCAGGGTGGTTCAGGATGATGACCTGTAAACGGAGAGAGACAACGACACACGAAGGAACACTATTAAAAACCGACATCTAATCATCTGTGTCAACTGGCTGGAGCTTGATATGGCTGAGTAGTCCTTCAGGAGGACTCAACTGAGAGTGACTGCTGTATTGTCCCCCAAACAGTTTTTCAAAGTCTATTTTTGTGTGACTGATAAACTGAGTAAGAGCTACACTTTCAGACAGAAATGGTTCCTAAAGAGTTGATTTGTTCCCACAACTTGACAAACATTATAAGAAACACTTTGTGACATAAACTTTGCTTTTCGTGTCACATGAAAACGTTCAATTAAAGAAAATAAATATGGGTGGCAGTTGTTACTGGTACTTCAGAGAAGATGCGTCATAGTTTGAATCTTATGGACCTGTGAGAGTTTGTATGTTTTCACTGTCACATCAGTTCTGTTCAGCTCTCAGGATTATTGAGGTCACCGGTCACTTTAAACTGCCTGTAGGTGTGTTTGCACGCCGGAATGTTTCTCTGCCTTAGACTCTTAGCGCTGTGATCGACAGG